TGTACCTTCAACTACTACTGTCTCTCCTAAACATTTTAATCCATCCTAAGGTTGCCTGGAAGAGGCATTGCATGTTTGTCATTTTTATGTATCATATTACTTGGAAAAAGGTGTACCAATAAAGAGTTTTCTATCTATCTATCTATATACTCGTATATTCGTGTGTTAACGGATTAAGAATAAGAAGTATCACCAACCCTATTCGTCCCGTTGTTGTCGTAAGGGCCGACGTTTGATTTAAGTAGCTACTAAACAAAATTAGTAAAATGAAATGAAATGCAAAAATTTTGCGCCTTTTACACAACGACGACACCAAGCTAAATAAGTTTGCGGGGCCCATAAAGCAGTTTCTACGTTCCGTTTCACGTCACGAATAGAATTGAAAATTGAATATTATTTATTTCATATAGCACAGCATAAAACAACATGAACAAAGAAACTAAAAATCAAGTAAGGTTTGATAAAGGTGACATTTTTCAATGTGTCAAACTTTCATTTCTGTCAGAACTGACATGACATCATATTTTCGCCTAAAACGAAACTCCTGGTTATTGTTTGTCAAAACAATATTTTTACGTTTCTAATTTTATTTGTATTACACATGGGTGATGAAACAAATTCATAAACTCTTCAGAAAGAAAGTAATAAGTCGGTCCGGGGGAAACCTTGCCGTACTATTTAAGTATTCTACAATGTTTTCACCATCGTTAAAATACAAATCAATGAAATCCAAATGAGTATTTACAATGATAAACTAACTTGAAATTTAAAACTAGCAGTTCCACTGTTCTTAAACGCGTTTAGCGCCGCTAATTAGCAGATTTTCGGTAATTAACTTTAGCAGTTTCTTAAACGTGTTTAGCGACAAATTTATCATTGTTCAAGATGCTAATTGTATTTCAACATTTTAAACGCGTTTAGAACGTCTTAAATGTATTTATGTCACGCAAGTGGCCCGTAGTACTCATATTAAACTAAAGATGATTGGCGTTCAGGGTTCGATTTGTTTCACTTGTAAACCACCTTGGAATGTAAACAATATTTTCGTTTGTATCACTTGTAGGTTACTTAAAATGTTATTATAATTTTTAAATCGATTTTATCAACTCCCACAAGTAATAATTCATTTCGGTATAACGAAATGAACTTTCTAAGAATTTGGATGGAGTTGAATAGTGGAACTTCTTTTTAATTTTTTATTTAGTCTTGCACTTAAAAGTGTCTTTTTAGTTCTACGCTGTAATTCATGTCATATAAAATGTATATTATATTAGTTAGTAAAAACTCATGTTCTAAACTAAGCACACTTTTTTATACTGTGCCTTTGTTACTACACGGAATTATTATCTTGTGTCCTTGATTCAAACTTAATTGTGACAGCAAACCCAACTGGGCGTAATGCCGTATAATAACTATTTCAATTACAATGCTTATTTCATTGTATTAAATATGTTATATTTTGTCACCAATTGTTTAAAACTGTAATCTCCCACAATGTAGCATATATTGTAAAACTTGCTTTTGTGAGCAACTTTGCTGATGTTAACATTAATCTACTAGATTACCCTAACTGACCGTTTCAAGGTTATTTGTCTATAACTAGCTAACAGTATTTTTATTTGAATATAAGATATAGGGTATTTGTCTTGAGTGGAAATCGAACCCATGACCTCTGGCTTAGCAGTCAGGATTACTAATCGCTAGATCAACAGGCCTATCTATTCATGTACCTCCGATGATATTTTTGATGTTATGATAATACATTAAGTAGTTAAGGCGAGTCATCATGACAAACAAACAAACTTACATTCACAACTGTAGCATTGGTTAAAATTATGTCACCAATAGTTTAAATTTGTGACCGAATACAACAATTATCGTTATGTTTCTGAAATAGACAAAGAAATAGACGTACTTGTATCATTGTTGTATGTAAAACAATCTAATTGGTTAATAAATAACTAGGAATTAAGACTTACGCATAGATTAATATTAAAATACAAAAATTGTGTTTAGCTGCTTAAAACTACATATTTAATACTTTATTTATATGAATGGGTAATTAGTAGTATTTACCCACACAGACATATAGCATAGTTTGTAAGACTTGAATTTGGTCAAGGATAATTCACCTTCAAATTCAACTTATTAATAAACAGTGACAAAGCTACGTCCTATATATTGTTAAAACTATCCACTTTTTTCATTCAAAAAGAAATATCTGGAAATCAGAGTGAAATAGTATTAAACTCTGAATCATTTACATTTTATTTGCAAACTACTGTATCTAAAGTATATTTTAATTCAAAACAGTCACATTCAAGTAAAGTTCACGCTATCAAGGTCTACTATAAGATCCGTAAAAATAAAAAGACTCAAAGTACATTCGTGCAGCTCTAAATCGTCTGTCTTGAAACTTCCAGTAGCTGTTTTGGCCATCCAAGAAGGTAGAAAAGAAAGCAGCTAGCAAATATTTCTATTAATATATGCAAGTAGGAATTATTAATTGAATTATGGATTCACTCTAAAGACATAAAGTATTAAATGAAAAATTATAAATAAAATCTGTTTAGAATCTAGTAGTAGTTATGCGCTGCCGTGTATACAATGCAGTGTGCAATTTTGAGAGGCTACGTCTTTTATAAGTTGATTCAAACATACACATTACCAAAACTCTTATCTTAAGCATTGTAGAACTTAAGCAAGTGTAAAACAAACAAAGTAGCTACACAAAAGTTTACGAAAACAAAAAAAACAAGAGTTTATTTTAAAGATAAATCGAAAATGAAGTCAAAAATTTAACTGCAGTTCTCCAAAAAAGTTTTTTCGCTATTCTGTTTTTTTGTCAGTAAGCTAATTAGAATCTAAGAGACATTTAGATTAGAAGTCCACTTACTTCCACACTTATCTGACACCGCAGTTTAAGAATAGCACGAAGAGATGAGACTCATAGAAAATGTCAAGTAGATATGGTTTTTTTTAAATTGTATGTCGTTGCTAACTTAAAATGTATGTTTCATTAATGTAATTGTGTCTTCGAATTTAATGCTAACACAACAACAATATGTATGTATTTACAAAAAAAAAGTATATAAGTATTCTATCAGTCAATCTAGCTTTCATAGTACAAGCTCTGCTTAGTTTGAAACTAGATGGCGTTGTGTGTTAGATGTACAAAAACAAAAAAAAATGCCCGTTGGTCTAGTGGTTAGTGACTCTGACTGCTAGGCCGGATATCGCAGCTTCAATGGGAATTGAAGCTGCGATATCCGGCTTAGCACCCAGGACCAATATTGTGTAATAGTCCGGTCAAATTAGACATAAAAATAGTGATTAAATAACAAAAACTCGGACAGAGATGAATTTTGGTGGAGACCTTGGGTACAACAGTAGAAATAAAGTGCTAAAAGTCGCCATCGATCGCATGTGTGCTAAAAAGTTATTCAAGGTCAAAAGTCAAAAGTGTCTCTTTTGACCGGACTAAATGCACACGATCGTTTGTTATGTGTCTGGGTTTAATTTATTATCTATAATATGTATATATTTAGAAATATATAAGGATGTTAATCAGATTGGTTACCATAGTACAGGCGTTGCCTAATTTGGGACCTGACTGCTGTGTGTCAGATGTGTGAAGTTCTTATTGTTATTAAATCCTGGAAGTTAATTTTAACCAATAATAGTCGCATTTTATATTGAAATGAAACTTTGTGTCTATGTATACTCGTATGTAGTCGGGATAATAACACTATAATACAGAATTTTACTGTAAATCTGATGATGGAGCCAGAATTGGAACTCCTCAGAGGCATGGTTTCGCTTTGACGAGTACTACATTGAACTTTGTAACAATAGTCTTATATTTATTTTGGTCCAACCTTTTTTTGCTATTAAATACTCACTTAAACATAATGTATGGAACAAATATATAACATATATGTGGAACATCTATCATATATATATAACATGTATATATAACATATAAACATTTATATGTATGTAAATGTAAGTCTCCTGCTGTATCGCGACTTACTAGGCATTGATCGCTACCCAAAGTAGTCGTATCTGTGTAGTAAGGAAACGCCACGCATTTCAAAGTATTTCAAAATATAATGTATGTGTAATATTGAAGATATCCTGTAGTCTACAAACAATATCCTGCCATTTTACCTAAGGGACCCTGAAATGAATCATGGGCAACTGCTTTGGTGGCAAGTGCCATTGTTTACCGCGGTCGCACACTTCATCCTCAGACGTCATCTCGCAGAAGGAGGCGGCGGAGAGGGCCCAGGAGGATGACCTCGACTCGGACCCAATTCGCCGCCCGCGAACTGGACGACGGAGGCGCGCATTATAGCGCCTCATGCCGCCCTGAGTGTGGCCGCGGGTGGACGGGACGGGTTTTCCTCCCCATCCGCTACAATGGCTAGCCGCAAGGAGGCGACTACCGATTGTACCGAACATCGTCTAAATAAAAAGTTTAACCGAAGTGGGTGCCCACGCTTTTGCGGACAGGCGCTAGGAGGGGTCCAGATGTCGTAATAATAGCTGTTCCCGGATCCCTCCTATTTTAGGCGCAGAGTGGCACACCGTGTGATTTTAATCGGTTTAATTTCAACACACCGCCCGCCGCAAACCCACCGGGAGTTGACGGCTAGAGGGGTTTTCAACACGTAAAAAAAGTGCCATTGTTATACGCGAAAAGTATTTGCAGCAACTTCTTCAGATGAGATATCACGATTGATTTTTTAGCTTTGTATAAAGTTACTTCATCTTATTAAATTTACAATAATTTGGGACCGAATCCCTATTTCGTCTGATAACATATTGCTACAAAAATGGAAAACAAACGAGTGTAAACAACAGTCGAGACTTGAACGACACTTTATTATTTACATATCTACGTATATTGCACAGGTACTATTTATTTACATTCTAGTTTCTCATTCGTCATTACTGAATAGTTTTAGATTAATTTAATAAAACTGATAAAAACTTACCTAGTAATAAATAATTTCTTTTCCTCCAGTAAAACTATGTACGCATGTATAAAACACAAAGTTATTCTTAAACCTTTCACGAACCACAGACGTAGTTGAAGAGAGAACCAATAATACTATTAATTCAGTTCTATGCCGTTTGTTTTTAATTTAAATAAGAAATAATAATCTTCGAATTTTAATAAAGGTTTTTATAAACTTCAGTATGTTGCGAAAATTAGAACAGAGTCAGCCAGTGTCCGAACCACAAGATAATGGCTGCCTAACTAAGTAAACGGAACCTGAGAGCTTGTGTATGTAGGATTTAAAAGTTTCCATTATACATTATTATCCATTATCTATTATTATTTTAAAAAGAGAATGAACACAAGACGAATTTGTATGCAAGATTAAGTAGTTTATATTAATTTAAAAATAATGTTATTCAAATACTACAATTTAACATATGATAAACATGATTCATATCAACGGTTTTTTTGTTTAGAGTTACAAGGCAAAGGATAATAATATTTTGTTGTATGATATTACAGCATTTTTTCTATTTTTGTATTTTTGCATATATATTGCTACATGCAATTCTAAAAAAAAAAGGTTTTGCACTGCTCTATTTGCTACTTTCATAATTCTGTAAAGCTGAAGTGTCAAAGTGAAGATGGCGGATGTAACGTGGCCCTCCAACAGCTCGTAAAATAAACAAACTTAAATAGTCTCTAAGTTAAAGGCACACTTTACATAGAATCAAAAATTACAATAGAGTACTTCGTGACTAAAATATAATACCAGATGATCGTTTTAAGTGTGAGTACCTAAGTATCTGTTTGTTAGGAAAATAACGTTCCGTGTGTAACAATGGAAACGTTATTATATATTGACGACAATTCAATACCTACATGAATGCATTATTATAGGTCGAGTTGCCCAGCAGTCAGATCCGCTTTAAGCTTTTGATGACATTCGTGTTTAGCATTTGTCTGATCATTACTTATACACTTATTCAATAAAGAAGTCTCTGCATATCAAAATTGTTGTTTTAGGCGGTTAGATCCTAACTTAGGTTGACGTTTGTAATTACATTGATTTTTTTTTGTTGTAACTCAAAAATAAAGCTTTTTTTTTATGAGCCTTTGGTTCAAGAACGCAAATATTTTTTAAATCAAATATTTCACATCACATCACACCAACAGCCTATAATAGTCCACTGCTGGACATAGGCCTCTTCCCTGAAAGGAGGTTTTGGCCTACTATACCACGCTGGGCAGACGGGTTAGTATAGGGTTTGTTTCAAGTTTTCCTTCTCTTTGCAGTGCTGTTGTCCTGCGTAGTTTTCTCCCTTAGTCGACTTTTACGACACCCACGGGATGAATAGGGGTGGTGACATTACGTATTCTTAATCCGTAATAATTTACCTTCTAGAATTTGTGCCTTTGAATATAGATACAAAATAATTCTATTTAGTAAATTTATTACGATTGCAAAGGACAATTCTACTGCTTACGTGTTTATTAAGTAATTTTAATAAGCGTTTATAAGAATCGCTTTGCAAACTGGTATCACAATCGCTTTGCATATTTCCTTGTGCGCAAATCGTGACTACGGATTGTTGTGTAAAAGCCGGAAATAAAACTGAAGCCGTAATTGTGGACCCTTGGAGATCGTATGACTTTAGCTTGAGGTTATATGTTTACATTTACTACAACCAATGAAAGAAATTAGGTATTTTGTTTTGCGTCCGTTTGGATTAAGGAGCCACATGTCATATCTTAATTTTGTAGTATCATACTTTTAAAGTCACATGAACATAACCGTGTGGTAACGGATTAAGAATACGGAGTGTCACCACCCCTATTCATCCCGTGGGTGTCGTAAGAGCCGACTGAGGGAAGCACTGCAAAGAGAAGGAAAACTTGAAACAACCCCTATACCAACCCGTCTGGCCAGCGTGGTATAGTAGGCCAAAATCTTTTTTCTAAAGAGAGGCCTATGGCCTCAGCAGTGGACTATTAAAGGTTGTTAATGTGATGATGTGAACATAAAGGTGGCTCCTCAATCTAAATGTTTAGATAGAGGAGCCACGTCAGAACTTGGAACATAATGGATGTATATTTATCATAATTTAATATGATTTTGTAGTATTTGAGAGTAGTTAGTAAACAAAATCTGACCTCGGTAATGTTAAAATTAAAAAGTTACCATTCATCATACATGTGTCTCCTCAGACCATACGTACGACTATTATTTTTCAAAGAAGCTGTCTCTCAATTGATGCGCAATTTCTGCATCGTTTAGTAGCAAGCATATTAAATTTGTAATGTAAAGAGTCAGTAATTAAAAATGAGTGAATTGGGAGATATGGCACATTTTAACTGGCTCCTCAGTTAAGTTGCTTCGGTAAATAGATTTGACTCTAATATACTTATAGGAGAATATACTTGTGAGAAAATTTGGAACATAAAACATCTAAATTTTGTAAAAATTCATACTAAATGTACGTATAATCCTGTCATCTACGAAGTTATCAGCTATTCTTTAATTTCCTAACAATTTTTTTGTAGGGTGTCCATGAATAACTTATATAAAAGGTATTTTTTCATTCCGTTTCGTACACAAATCTAATTTATTTTATTTCATCTAATTATTTGGAGGTAACTGCAGTTACCACCAAAGGGTAGGTACCCTCAATAGTATTTATACACCACGACACAAGCAAGAGTCAGTATCTCAACACTGATTAATAGTTTTTGCATACGTAGTGAATTATTACTTTTATATTTAATTATTCTTATCGATACAAAACTACTAGCGACGCTGGCATGGGAAAACTATACATGTCCCTCCTCAACAAAGGATGAGATATTTTGTTACGACCACTATGATTCTCAATATTAAATTCGTAATGCACCGACTAACCAATATTAATTCACTGTATAACTTTTATCCAAATTTATTAATAAATACTTGTAACTGGAAAATTTCTTTACACGCCTATATTTCGATAATTTGTTGAAAATTAAACTTCAAAAACTAGTCCTTGTGATTTCACATTTTGACATGGTAACTCTAAATAGCGAATTCACAAGGAATATCAAATAGTTATTTATTTTTCAGATACCGAATATTTACAACGTTGATCTGTACATATTTATGCACAGATCAACACAGCCATTCCCGGTGTAGATATTGACGAAGGTCAGGGACTATAATCGTTTTCACGTTCAATTCCGAATGCAATAAATATACCTATCAAGTAAAAATGATATATTCTTATTAAGTTGTGTACATAATCTCATAGTAAATTTTAGTATAAAGTAGACTCATGTCAGTAGTACGAACTTGAATATTCTAGATCACTATAAAATAAGAATAGTTATATAGAGTATTTTTATTGCTGCAACAGGTTACCTGAATTAAGAGTTGTTGATAAACAATGCAAATTTTAAAATTCACCAAGGATCGTAGAAACAGTTTACAAACTTTAAAATGCAAGGATTGAAAAAGGTCTTTAAGGTAAGCATTTGATTATTTTAATTTGAGAATAAGTTACAAAAAATCATATTTTCCATTACGTACATACGTAACTGAAAATCTATCTTTATGTTTACGAGTTTTTATAGACAGTGCCATTACCTACTCATAAGAAGTTAATTACAAACTATAAACTAGACATTTATTTCTCGTGTACCTGGTGGCTGATAAAGGCAGTTCTCAAGGAGGCGTCATTGCTATGATGTTGCTAATTGTTTCGGTTACTTTAACCGTATATGACCTCAAACTAATAATTAACATTTTTGTTAGTACTGACAGATGATGTGTTTACTGATACAGTTAGGGTACAAGCCTGATCATTAGTATAAAAGTACATACTCTCTTTCGTATGAGCAAAACCCCCTTTTTTCTTTTGCCTTCGATTCGTACATTGCAATTCCTTTATTTATTTTCACATCATGAACATTTGGTGCGTTTGCGGACTTACTGTGTAAGGCATTCTCTACCAGTCAACCATTGGGTGTTGTAGAGAAAACAGGAGATAGGCGCATTAGATATAAAATATATAAATAAAATATTATATATATATATACACCTACAACAGTGCAGTTGGATCACCAAATCAAGTGTCGGACGTTACAGTTCTTGGCGGACCTACCCCGTCCCAATATTGAAGCTTTTCAGTTTTCTCCAGTGGAATCAGGTGTAGTCAAAAAGACAATCCTCTCAATCAAATCCAACGCCATGGGATGTGATAACATTAACCGTTGCATGATCATCCCTATCCTCGATCACCTTCTTCCCGTGCTTAAGCATATAACTAATTTTTCTCTTGACTCAGGAACTTATCCCACATCGTGGCGTAAGGCGTTTGTCATAATCCACCCAAGATCCCAAATCCAACACTCCTGAATCACCTACGACCAATCTCCATTCTTCCCTTCCTGTCCAAAGTCCTCGAGGCCTGTGTGAACCAACAACTCTCCCAACATATTTACCGCAACAACTTACTAAGCCCCCTTCCAATCAGGGTTCAGGCCCGGGCATAGCACTACTTCCGCACTGCTAAAAGTGATCGGCGACATCCGACCAGGAATTGAGAAATCCAAAGTTACTGTCTTGGCTTTCGTCGATTTCTCAAATGCATTCAACACCGTCAGTCACGATATCCTTATATCTATCCTTTCCTATCTTATGATTGCGCCTGATACTCTGGAATGGTTTTCCTCATATCTTCAGGGTCGCCAGCAGTCTGTCCGCGTCGATGAAGTCTCTTCTAGTTGGCGTGAGCTTGACTGTGGTGTCAGTCAAGGTGGCATCCTCTCTCCTCTATTATTCTCAATATTTATCAATCTTATCACCCCGAATCTTTAATGTGCGTACCATCTTTATGCCGATGACTTGCAACTCTATTATCGAGCCTCGACAGACGACATAAATGTGGCCATTTCTATGGTTAGCAGTTGGGCTGATGGGTTTGGTTTGGCAGTGAATCCAGCGAAATGCCAAGCCATCATCATAAGCAGTCCGCGCATGACTGGAAGGATGGATCAAAACAAACTGCCACCCATTACTTATAACGGCACAGTCATTCCCTTCAGTCCCTCTGTTAAGAACCTAGGCCTATTTATCGACTCCAAGCTCAGCTGGCAAACCCAGGTCACCAGCGTTAGCCAGAGAGTCACAGGTACGCTACGAGCCTTCTATCAGCTTAAAAACTGCCTTCCTTCCGAGACAAAAGCGATGCTAGTACAGACTGTTATTGTCCCTATCTTGGATTATGGTGATGTATGATATTATGACCTGAATGCAGATCTCCTCAATAAATAAGATCGCCTTCTGAATAACTGCATTCGATTCGTCTTTATCCTTCGCAAATACGACCATGTTTCTTCCTCTCGTCGTGAATTGAACTGGCTCACGATTCGTCAGCGCGGTCAGCTGCACGCCCTCACCACCCTCTATTCCATACTCAACTCACCTATTTCACCTTCCTACCTAACATCCTCATTTCATTTTCTATGTGCCAATCACAACAGAACTCTCCGTTCATTAAACAATCCACTTCTGTTATGCCCCACTCATACTTCCGCATGTGTCCACTCTTCGTTCTTAATCCAATCTGTCCTCCTCTGGAACGTTCTGCCTTTGGAAATCAGGATAGCACCCAGTCGCCTCTCATTCTCTCAACACTCTAGCAGACTCATTACATCCCTAAAGTCTTATATGTTATACGTATATATACGTATGTACTATATGTATGAATGTAACTCAGCAAGTATATAATATGTATGAGTATCTCAGTATGTATGTAACCTAATTTTAATTTCATGCACCTACTGAGACATTTCCCCACCACCCAAAGGTAGACTGGGAGAAAATGCCTTTGGCATTAAGTCCGCCATTGTACAATGATTTGTTGTTTATGCAAAAAGAATGAAATAAATAAATAAATACAACATGTTTACACATTAAAAATAAGTATATACAAGCTTATATAAATAAATACCTAAGCAAATAGATACTGACACATTGGCAAATAGATAGAACTATTTTAGGTGAAAAATTAAGTTAATTTCAATATAAGAGTATATTGAAATTAACTTAATTTTTACTCCGGTGTGTTCCGGTAGATAATTAAAAGCTTGCTCCATTATAACCTAACGTATACGATCATAGCATAGTGGTTGTTTAAAAGGTACTACTAATAACAACACGGTCTGACAGAACACCTGTTAATTCGGTTGAGCATTGTTATACTTTAAAGTGCTGATTTTTGTAAGAGTCAAGTGTGCGTGACCCCACCTCTCCAAGCTAAAAGTTGCTTGATTGTAGTAAATATATAATATATCTGAAACAGTATCATAGCTAAGTTACATACTTACACACATATATAGATATGCTGACGGAAAAATTTGAAACAAATCCTATACCAACCCGTCTGGCCAGCGTGGTTTAGTAGGCCAAAACCTCCTTTCTAAGGTGAGGCCTGTGTCGAGTAGTGGACTATAAAAGGCTGTTGATGATGATCATGATATACTGACACCTTTATCCCTGACATTGTTGACAGAGATGGATTGAATGGAACCCACACATTACCGACTTATTCCCGTAAACCGTCAACTTAAAGAAGCATACTTGAATCCACGTTTTTAAATACCTGCACCTACCTACCTACCTACACAGAACAAATGATCGTGCTCATCACACAATTCATTTTCCGAACAATTTAACACTAGACCAACAGCTCGCTACCAAATATTAAAAATTATCAGCCTGAGCCCATTTTGCCATGTCTGTTTGTCTAGGCGTTTTGTTATTAATCCATATTTCCATACCTGCACTATAAATGTAAAAACGAGTTTGTTAAATAACATTTATTGTTATCATATATTTTTTACAATTTGGACTTTACAGCTAGAAGGAGCCGGCATTTCCTAATATTCACTCTTAAATTTGTATTTACTTGTATTTTATAGAAACTTCATCACATCAGAGAAATAGTAAATGATAAATTATATTTATCATTTACTATTTCAGATATTTTTATAGTCAGACTTTACAGCTACAAGGGGCATTTCCTAAGACTCACTCTGTGAAGAAACGCCGAAACAAACCACAGAGGTGTCTTTTTTTTTATTCCCTAAACAAAGTTAAATAAAACTGTGCGACTACAGTATGAGCTCTGGGTAGGCCTTTTGAAGAAAAGATCACAGTTTTGATTCAGCCTGTCCATACAGACGGCATACAGGCCCCAGCCATCGTGTAGCTTAACCGATATTGGTCAAGATCAAGGACACGAAGCATGACCCTTCCTTAAATTAAATCTCTCTCAAACGTAACAACAATGATAAGAACGTAAATGTGGGAATGAGCAACATTAATCTCAATCAAATTTGTCATCTGAATAATCTGTAATAGTGTAGTAAGCCTATTCACATAGTTTTAGTTTTACTAAAGACTTACATTTGTTAATTAAATTCATGAAATTTGCTTCGCTATTTATTGTAGAATCACACCCTTGGGCTGCCGCGATGGGGCAGCTGACCACCACTGCCCCCTGGGGCCGAGGCGTACTGCTCCGGCCTTCACGCAATCAAGCTAACAGCTCCCAGCCTCCGTCATGGCGAGCCTAAGCTCCTCCACCGTGACAGTGATGTGCGCATTGAGAGGGCTGGATTTCTTAGTGACCTGCATTAGTTCTCGGACTATCTGAATTTCGTCTCTAAATTCACCAAACCTACGAGTAAGTGTTTGTTTAATATACTCCCAACTATTAAAGTCGGAGCATTCCGATAAGGCTTCAACGGCTTTACCAGATAATTTGTTGACGTTGTTGTTGTTGTTGACGGCGGTCAATACCGAACACCGACAACACGATTCCCCGACCCGCAGACGCTGACTTATCGAGGGCCTTTTACCTACGTAGGATTGTGGCCAAGAGGAGAAAACCTCTACAAAAAATCACAAGGACAAGATGGCTTAGGTCGTATGTCCTGATATTTCCATCCACGTGTCCTTCTGTTGCGCAGAGGACACGTGTGAGGGCTACGTGTCACTGGGCGACGGGATCGCCGTCGGAAGTTCCGCATGGGGCAACCGGCGATAATCACTGCCGAACTCCGACAACTGATCGGCCCAAACCGTAAACGAATCGGGAGCATTGGCCTTCTTCAACGGGGAGGAGGGTAGAGAAGGTCACGAGGAAGAAAACCTTTACAAAAAATTGTTCTTCTGCCATTTTATCTCACAATACACACAAAATATAAATTGATACACAAATATATCGTAAACACTACTAAAACAATAAATAATTTACAGAACCACGTAGTTAAGTTTGTACAAGAATCTCGAGAGCAAACAGAGTTCAATGCTCACCTCATGAGCATACAGATTCTCTGGATGGGCGATGAATTCTGCTGTTCCACTGCACTGTGCCGTTCTTGAGCTCGATACGGTCTTTTGAATCGCGTCGCGGATGTCACGTCGCGGAATTGTACCGATTCGAACACCGTCTTTTATGGACACGATCCTACACCGACTGCGCCAGATAAGTTGTGTCGTGCGACGGGAGAGTTTTAAAAAATTAAACTATGGGACGACAGTCCCTAGTTTTATATTCAAAGGTTAAAACTAAGATACATGACTCTTATCTCTAATGGTGTAATTAAGTACAGGGTTGTACTGTTTGGGTTAGTGATGTGCGTCTGCTTATACCAACGTAACTCAAGCATTGTTATATTTATTTAAAATGCGAACATGATTAAACTACGAGATAACAAATGCTTAACTAAGTAAACGTAGCTTGTGTTCATAGTGCATAGAATAAAAAAGGTTATATAACCGTCCAACAGAATATTTTAAAGAAATTAGAAAAAAGAATCATTCATTTTCAAATTACAAATCATACATTCAAAAAGTTTTTACAACAATATTATAGTACACATTTCATTATAATTTAATAATTCTGCAATGATATTACAACATGCATGCATTTTATAAAATTCCTGCTTAGCATTTAAGTATATACTATCCCATGCCGATTTCGGCCACGGCGACTGTTTATTTTGGGGGTCTAAGCTTCGAGCGTGTGCTCTGATGTAACTTACGTACCTTATCTTGGCACTGAAAGTACGCGCACAGTGGGGACAAGCATACCATTAAGGTAATTGTGATTAATTTTAGGGGGTTGTTTGTTTTTGAGGTTTTCTCGTTTGTCATCGAGATCACACCTCCTTTGATCTTCAAAGCAGTTAACGTTGTACTAACCGCCTCCAATTTAGGTCTATCCCTAGCCAAATTCTCTCAGTGAGAGGGTTCTATATTCATTTTTCTGTGTGTTTTCTGAACATCTTTATACCTCTCGTCAGGCATCCTTACAACGTGTCCAGACCACCGTAGCTGACGACGTATTAAATAAACTTCGATACCGCAGACATTAGCTCTTCGCAGAACATCCGAGTTCCTAACACGGTCGGACCACTTTATGTTCAGAATATCGCGAAGGCACTTAAGATGGAAACGGTCTAATTCGCTTATATGTCTCCTGTCCAGACGTACTACCACGTCTCTGAAGAACATAGGATGTTCGGTAAGACGATGGCCATATGCACATTGTTTGCCAAACACTGCCGAAGCAGTACTAATCCTGCTTTTAATTTCTTGGTCGAAGTCAGGGTGACTTACATGTTAATGTGCCATCCAGGTACAAATATCTGGGTTAAAGCAGGTTGAAAAATTCAACAACTTATCAACCTGCTACAGGACAGCACCTTCGAGTCGCATATCTAGTGGGCCATAGTTAACGGTATCTTCTGCCATGACTTCAGTCTTAGTGAGATTAATTTTAGGACCGAATATACGTCAAGACTTATTAAGTTTTTCCATTAACTCCTGCAAGTCTTCTGGGGATTCCGACACAAGGCACGGGTCATCAGCGTACATTACTTCGGTAATAAAGTCGTAAGGAACTTTCAGTCGGGCTAGGTTAAAAAGTTTGCCGTCAGTTCGGAAACGGATATGTATACCCCTAGTATTGCTCTGCAAGGAGTCTCTCACAACTGCTACAAAATACAAGGCAAATAGGGTGGATACCAGTACACATCCTTGTTTTACCCCGCAGGTAACTGGGAAGAAATCCGGCTAGCTAGAGTATTCTCAGACAGTTTCAGTATCCGGTTCAGAAGGACTCTTGTAAAAATCTTCCCTGGAGCTGATAAAAGTGAGATGCCTTTGTAGGAATTGCATTCCACACGATTACCCTTGCCCTAGTAAAATGTACAGATGTTAAACACTGTGTAAGGATCTGATACTATCTCCTCATCCCACACACGGCAGAAAAACTCCCAGTCGGTTTCATGTAAGTCTACTTGAGGGCCTTACTCACCCGGTAGGAGGCACTCGCATCGGCATCGAGCCCTCGATCAGGTATCTGGGGCTCGTACTCGATGGCCGATGGGACTTCGGATATCATTTCCGAGGTCTGGTCCCCAAGTTGGTTGGGGCAGCGCGTGCGTTGGCGCGGCTGCTGCCCAACATGAAGGGACCCGATGACTCCTGCCGGAGACTCTACTCGGGGGTTGTGCGGTCCATGGCCCTTTACGGGTGCCCAGTATGGGCGGGGGCCCTGAAGGCCAGCAACGTCGCGATACTGCGGCGACCGCAGCGAATGCTGGCCATCAGGATCATAAGGGGGGTACCGCACGATCTCCTTCGAGGCGGCGAGTCTCCTGGCCGGAACTCCACCGTGGGACCTGGAGGCGAGAGCCCTTGCAGCACTGTATCAGTGGCGCAAGGAGGCGCAGGAGTTGGGTCGATACCCCGAGATTCGAGAAATCGATGACCGGAAATCCCAACTCCGCCAGGTCATCATAGGGGAGTGGAGGGAACGACTCGGGCAACCGAGCGCCGGGCACGCCGTCATTGCGGCGGTAAGACCCGTTATGGAGGATTGGCTCGAGAGGCGTCACGGGACCCTCTCATACCGATTGACGCAGGTGATCACTGGGAAGGGATGTTTCGGAGATCACCTGTGTCTGATCCGCAAGGAGCCAACGCCTGAGTGCCACCACTGCGATGGCCAGACCGTGGACACGGCTCTCCACACGCTGGCAGAGTGCCCGGCGTGGGTTGAGCAGAGGCGAGACCTCGTGGCGGCCATCGGAGTGGGAGTTCTCTCGCTCGATAGCCTGATTGCGGCTATCGTGCGGAGCGAGAGTGCGTGGAACTCTGCCGTCTCCTTCTGCGAGCAAGTTATGCTCGCGAAGGAGACGGCGGAGCGGGACCGGGAGAGGTTTAGAACTCTCCCGGCCCGCCAGGCCCGGGCACGGGCCAGGCAGCGCAGGCGACTCAGGCGCCGGAGGTCGCAGAACGACCTCCGTCCTCCATAAGCGCAGGCCTGGGGGTGACAGGTGAGGCCATCTGTCACCCTAGCAGAAGCAGGCCGGGGAGGCGGCGAGCGCGTTGCGAAGCGCGCTCGCTTCCAGGGAGCACAGGGAACATGGGGTTCCCACACGGGGCGGGGGTCGTCTACTCGTCTGTAGATGACCCGAGGTATGTCGGGGCACCAGGGCCTTCCTTTCTAGGGTATACCTGGTTCCCCGGCTATTAGTACCCGGCGAAGGCGTGCGGTTTTAGTCGGTTCGAGTCCGACATGCCACCGACAGGTGGTATCCGAGGGGATTTCCGCACGGAAAAAAAAAAAAAAAAAAAAAAAAAAGGGCCTTACTCACCAGGGATCGCATCTTTACCCACTGCCCTGTCATTACGTTGCTGCTTCATGGTATCAACGACCTCACGAAGAGTAAGCGGATTATCAAGTGGGAGCTCTAACTTGGGAAATCGCAGGTATGGCTGATATGTAATCAAGATCCGGTGACCGGTCTACGTTGAGAAAGGTATTAAAATGCTCAACCCAACGCTTTAACACATCCTCTTAATTTATAAGTAGCGTACTGTTAATGGATTTTAAAGGTACACTTACTTGCTTTATGTAAATAACCACAACTTTAGACAACAAAACATTTTTACTGATTTCTTCCTTCATTGTTTCTTGTTTCTTCTGAGTAAATCCTGTCTAATCGTTGTGGCAGTGTTAAATAAGAAAATCAAAAAACAATGAGTGTGTTTGCAGACTTTTGAAATCTAATTAGTTCAAGTCACTGCTGAAAGCAAACAAACTAAACGTATTCCAATCGTTGAAATGTGGTATATATAAGTATTAAGTATACTTGATGATGAACAAATAATAATATGCCTAAAAGCGTAGGTTCATATGATTTTGTTTGTTGTATAATTGAATAAAAAGTCTTATCAAATGAAAGAAATCAAAAGAAAATTAGGGTTGAATGAGTATGGTAATAAAAATATATCCAGGATATCAACTTAAACAACTCAGATCCCTATCTGGCTGCCATGATAAAGCTTCAACAACTTAAGTAAGATCACCTGTGCTTGTTTTACAGGCTAGTAAGTGACAAATGGAATTTGCGATCAAACCATTTGGGTAGGTATTACCTTTTAGTCACAAACTTACATACGGCCACACATCAAAACAATGTTATGTATATTTAATGCTGCCATTGTGTTATCTGTTAATTAAAAAAGAGTGGCGGTGAGTTTGTTTGCCCTTTCTTCTCATGATGCTCGTGCTCGCTTGTGTGTGTTGATCTAAGACTTTAGAGTCTACACAAGAGACTGTTTCAATTATTATTTTTATTAAATAAAGATGTTTTGAGTTTGAGTTTATTGCACAAACATTCCGGCTTTATTATTTTTTATGATGTAGGGGCAAACAAGCAGTCAGGTCACCTGATGGTAACTGTCAACCGTACTACCGTACTATCCATAGATACCTGCTACTCAAAAGTCTTTTGACTTTTAATGTATCCAGGGGGGGAAGGGTCTGGGGATTTGGATTAAGGTAACCTCACTCACTCAGTGCTTAACACCGGTTTTCTGCGAGGCCGTGGTATCACTCTGGTCGAAGCTACCCATTTATGCCGAAGCATGGCTCTACTACGGTAATAGTAATATAATTATGGCTTTGTTAAATTTCGATTTAAAAAATTCACTAAATTTTTGGCGTCAATGTTATTTACTTACTTATAAAACTTATATAAGAATTTGATCGACATTAATTTCTATTAGTTTCTGCCCTTTTATACATAAGTGAGGATTGACGAAGTTGCGTAATTCTCATAAACAATTTGCGATAAGAATTTTACCAGGCCTTTCTTTTTGCGTGTGTAGTGGGGGGTGATAGTTATTATCTTGACTAAATTAATAATATCCAGTTCCAAGGATATAATTGAACTAATAATACCTAGCGCTGGCAATAATTTAAATGATATAAGAAAACTATGTGAAAAAAAGTGTTTAATAAAACAAAACCTGTTATTTAATCTGTTAATTGTTGTCTTAAGTAAGTGCAAGTAATTAATGATCTACTAGAAATGTTTTCGAATTATGTCATACGTTCCTAAATGTGCTTACGTTGTAGGTCGATGTAGGTCATTATCATCCTCTTGCCGTCCACTGTTGAAAGAAGGCCCAACTATCAGAGTCTTGGGCAATCCGCTGCCAGCTATTTTACATTTTCAGTTAGGTGTTTAAATCCATAGGTACCAATTATATGGTTTAAGACATTTATTTCCTCAAAAGAATATTTACATTCGTTTGTCAGAGAAAATACAAGATAAAAATAGTAAGTAACAAGTGCCGGAGCGGTGCTTAAATTACATATTATTGTTTTTACATCTAAGTAAATAAATATGTAGAACAAAACTATAAATAAATAAATAAAGAGGGTAGCTATCACAAAACAAAACCAGCCGGACCCACGCCTGCCGAGATTACCAAGTTTGCAATATTGCAAGTTGTAAATTATCTATTATTATCTCTATTATTAATGCATATTCCAGGGAATATTATCGTAAGAAAAAAAAGTGGTAGGAAATTAAAAATGATTTTTATTTAAACCTTAATAAAAATGCTGACTAAAAGATATTTACATTTGTAAACCATAGACATAGTGTTATAAAATAACTCAAAACTAGAAAAATCCCCACAAATAATCACAATACTGTACTTTTATCACACTGAATCTCTAAGAACATTGGTTCCTGACGGTTTTCAATTTTATCACCTTTTATCTTCTGTTCTACTGTCTCAGCACTTCTATGTTTATACTCCAATATAAAATAACCTGAAATACCAACAATCAAAGTACCGAGAAGCAGGTAGATCTTATAGCGTGTCCTTACATATGACGAAAGCATATATGCGATCATAAAACCAACTCCTTCACACAGTCGGATGTTTGGGAATGCTGCTTCTTCCTTTCCGTGAAATATGACACCACAATATGCTGTAAAACATAACAATAGACAACAAATATTAGACTTATGATCAACATATGAAACATTATACTTTGAGCTTTTTAAGGGAAGAATATTTTAGATTTGCAATGAGTCCAGTATCGAGCCGTTCTACGCAATTTCACCTGTATTTATAGTTACTGCTTTGCCAGAAGATTTTAGCGTAATGGTACAAAACCTATACATTCCTTAAGTGTATTTCTGACTGATAGAATTCAAATCAGTTTGACATTTCCAGAGATAAGCAGTTAATATATCAAGCAACAAAAAGAAAGGAATAAAAAAGTAATTTAGTATCTTTGTCTTTATATGTTGTACAATTAATTAAATTATTCTGGTTTAAAAAGAACAGCAAAAATGTAGTAACCATTCTAGATATTTTTGTTGCCGATTTGTAGTCAAACGTTTGGCACGTAACACTTTAAGTAAAATATTAACACATGAAAGAAACGAGTTTCAAAAATAAGAAGAAAATAAAGACATCGCTGTTTTATGTGTAGATTTTCGGAATTAAATCATATTAAATAAATCCTGCTTCGTAATTTAAATTTGTAACTTTAAATTGTACCTACAATTCATTTGTGCCAACCACACAGAGTCACAAAGGCCCCATACCACAGCAATAATGACCATAACGTGGTAGTCACCAGCATGCGGACGCCAGAGTAGTAGCATGAGGATTACTCCCATATGAGTGATAAGTGCGCTGATGACCAGCGGCAGACGGCCGAACAACTAAAAGATAAATAATTTTTCCCATGTCATAAGTTTACTAAAGTTACCAATTAGTAAAACTAAAATAAAAACTGCCTACTCGTTGTAACGATCTAATGTTCAGGCATTTGGTTATGGTGGAATGAAGAATCCCACATTTACATAAATACTTGGAACTTCTGAATATCACAATTTCTTTTTTTGCAAATGCACGATAAGGTATGGAATCTAATAAATAGAGAAGACCGATAAATATCTAATAATGATGCAATAAAAAATATTTGTTATTGATTTCAGAGTACTTTGTCCTTACAATGGCGAAAAAATAACATAATATTCTACTAAACATTTATAGAAAACAAACGATAAAGAAAGATGGTTTTATTACTTTAGCCAAGTAGCCAGTCAAGACACATCCCATTGCATCAGTCACTCCAAATGCCATCATGACGTATCCTACGGAACCGGTACCAATTGCACATGATACGAAACTCTGTAACAAGAATACAATATGAATTGTTGTGTTCATAATTGTTAATCTATATACAAAAATATTCAATTGGTTTGGGTACGCTTCAAAAAACTCAAAAAGTTCTGCACCGATTGAGCCCAGATTTTGCCACGACAACAAATTTTTATCTATTTTTCGGCTCTTGTTTTTTATTTTTTAGCAATGTCACCATAATGTGCAGGGTACAGAGTATTATAATTTTGTGATACTAAAAATAGAAAACCAAATTAAAAAGCAAATAAAGAGCGATAGACCTCTCCTAACTTCGTCGAACATTCGTTACCAAACCCAATCCGTTGGACTCGTTAAAACAAGTTTATAAACTGAAACTTAAGTGGTTTTCTAGTCACTGAAAAGTTCTATTTTATCCATCACTCGGCTCAAGAAGTAAGCTACCGCGCACTAACATCAAATTATTTTGCTCGTTAAAGTTTAATCGATATTAACGTCTAAAAGAAGTTTCTGCAAAAGTTTTTGTGAAATTTAATGGTGTAAAACGATTTATCAGTGAACTATAAACAAAGTGAGGCGATTTAAAGTGTAAATAAAGTAATATTCTTGAGTTCAATCAACATTATAATTATCCGTTACCGTCACAAAGTGCAACAAACTAACCACGCAAAGTGTTTTATACAAACGCGTAAGAGACACGTTCTACCTGGCGCTTACGCTGTTCTTCTCGCCGGCTCGCGTGTTCACCGATTTCTTTGACTATAAGGGCGGCCTTAACTTGGATTTCGCAATTTATTAAATAATATTGATTACACTTGTCTACGACTTTTGAGTGTGCACTTTTATCTTAAACTCGTATACTATGACATCAAGTTCTTTGGCTTATGGGTGTTGTACTGGTGAGGAAACTGATGATCATGAGCAGTTTATCAACTGCATTAGATGCAATAAATCGTACCACTTTCTTTGTTTATCAATCCCGGAAATTTCAAGAGACTCTGATGTTTTCTTAAAATGGCAGTGTCCAGGGTGCACGAGTCTAATTCCGAAGATAGCAAGGAACGATTCCACCCCTCTACGAAATATTTCCTCCTCAAGGGGCAGTAAGAGACCTGCTCTGAACTCTCCACCCGAAAATGGCACAGTCACAGCCGATGATATACGGTCCATTGTGAAGGATGTTATAAAAACTGAACTCGCTATTATGCTACAGAATATCAATAAAAGCATTGTTAGCATCATAGATAAGCAATTGGAACCTATTAAAAATGATGTCCAAGAGTTAAAAGAGTCGCTAACTTTCCATATAAAAGAATTTGAAAAATTTCTGTCCGAACATGTATCTACAATAAGTAGCTTAAAAGCTATAAAAGAAGAAAACTCTCAATTAGGAAGCACCGTTTCAGACCTAAACCAGAGATTTAATTACTTGGAACAGCAGGCTAGGTCTAATAACATTGAATTACAGTGCCTACCAGAAAATAAAATGGAAAATTTATACACTGTAGTTAAGCAGATGGGGTCCGTGGTAGGGAGTGTTCTGAAGGACAGCGATATTTTGCACTGCACTCGAATAGCCAAACTTAACAATGCGAATAGCCGTCCCAGATCCATCGTGGTACAGTTCGCATCTCCACGGATTCGCGACCAAGTACTAGCCGCTGTTATTGAATATAATAGAAAGAACCCTGAAAATAAACTGAATAGTGCGGATTTTGGTCTTGCGGGTAAGAAAACTCCTGTTTATGTCGTCGAACATCTATCACCTGGCAATAAATCACTTCATGCGGCTACAAGATTGAAAGCCAAGGAAAGAGGGTATAAATTTGTTTCGATAAGAAGCGGGAGATTTTTTTTTAAGAAAGATGAAGATGCGACCCATCTTTTAATTAAAAGCATGGAATCTTTGAAGAAGATAATATAACTTGGGGATCTGTGTTACTATAAATTTTTATTTTTTATACAATTATTTTGCATAATTCTTTAACAATTTTTCTTTTAAAATTCAATCATTTAAGAGTTTATTACCAAAATTGTGGTGGTTTAAGGACCAAAATTCAGTCAGTGTATCGTAAAATATGTTGCAATGACTACGATGTAATTATTATCTCAGAAACATGGTTGAATAGTTCTGTAAGTAGTGGAGAACTATTTGATAACAGATACGTGGTTTATAGAAGAGACAGAGAAACCTCGATTATAACAAATTATCCAAAATGTGACAAGGAAGGAGGAGGAGTTCTTATTGCAATCAAAAATAAATTCAAAACGAAACGATTGAAATGCTGGGAAAGTATTTGTGAGGATCTTTAGGAATCAATATTGTGCTTTCTACAAATGCATCAACTAGTGTATGCCAATCCATTAACCCTGTAAGTAAAGTTAGTGGACTACATCCACCTTTAGATATTGATATACCTTTAGATATGGAATCAAGACTTCCTTATAACAATATCAAAGCTAGACCTAATTTTCATAGAGGAAATTATCGATCAGCTTGCACTGCATTTCAAAAAGTTAGCTGGGACAAATTGTTCAGTGGAAAAGATAATGTAAATGAGATGTTAAGAGTTTTTTATGACACTATAAATACAGTAATTAAAGATAATATACCGTCTTGAAATCCTAGAAATAACAAATTTCCCACTTGGTTTAACAATAGACTAATTAAAAAATTGCGTTTAAAAAATAATCTTAGAATTCGATATAAAAAGTATCAAAATCCACTAGATGCTATATATTTAAAAGATCTTGCCAAACAATGTGATAGGTTTTCCAGTGAATGTTATAAAAAGTATATTAACGTTTTAGAGGAGGAACTGAGGAATAATCCGAGACTATTTTGGACTCATGTAAAGACTAAAAGAGGAGGGACGAGCGCATACCCAGTAACTATGACTGATGGGGTTAAAACCACTTCAAATGGTCCCGAAGTATGCAAGCTCTTTGCCAATTACTTTTCTTCCGTTTACAGTTCCGACCATAATCCTTATTATAACAACAATTCCGAATACTTACAATCACTGGAAAGCTATAGCACATGTTTAAATAAACCAGTTTTGGATGACGAAACCATTTTAAGAAAGCTACAGACTCTAGATATCACTAAAGGTGCGGGTTCAGACGGTATTTCACCAATATTTATTGTAGCGTGTTCTAACGAGTTAGTACGTCCGCTCTCACTCATCTTTCATAAATCTTTAGCTACTGGTGAATTTCCCTCAAAATGGAAAGTGGCAAAGGTGGTACCTATTTATAAAACGGATTGCAATGCAACCGTATCTAATTACAGGCCTATTTCCATATTATCAGTATTTTCCAAAGTTTTCGCATCATTATTGTATCCTTATATTCAAAATCATTTAAAAGTATATTTAAGCGACCATCAACATGGGTTTGTGGAACGGAGATCCACTGAATCAAATTGAGTTCCATTTACCGAATTGTTAAGTAACGCCATAGACACTGGTCACCAAGCCGACGTGATTTATACTGATTTTAGTAAGGCGTTCGATAAAGTTTCCCATAGCATTTTAATTTCTAAATTACGAGCGTATGGAATTACTGGCTCTTTGCTTGATTGGTTGAGATCATATCTTCAGGATAGATACTTTTTTGTTGTAGTTAATGGCTTTGAATCAGAATTACAGAGAATTACTTCGGGCGTTCCGCAGGGTTCACATCTAGGACCAGTTCTTTTCAATTATTTTATAAATGACGTCACAACCTGTTTTCAACACTCCGATGTGTTTATGTTCGCTGATGATTTAAAATTTGTTAGTTTGATAAAGTCGAAAGATGATTCTAAGCTTCTGCAAAGTGACATTAATAGACTCATTCTGTGGTGCAACAATAATGGAATGCACCTTAATTCTAAAAAATGTAATCATCTAAAATTTTCAAGAAAACACAACCTAGCATTGTGTCTTTACTTTATCAACAATGATAAAATTAATGAAGTGGAACATATTCGTGACTTGGGTGTAACATTCGATAGAAAATTGTCGTTTGTACCACATGTGGACAATATTATTAAAAAAGCTTCAAGGATGTCGGGTTTTGTATTAAGAAATTGCAAAGCATTTCGAAATAATAGAACGAAAATATTACTTTACAACAGCCTTGTCAGTAGTATATTAGAGTATTGTGGAGTAGTCTGGCGTCCGCATTACGCCACTCATTCGCTGCGTATTGAACGTATCCAAAAACGCTTCGTTTGGCACCTTGCTTTTTCGAATGTTGTGGCTAAGAAAATACGTTCATACAAAGGTCGGCTTAAATACTTTCAAATGCGTTCCTTAGCAGGTCGTAGACTTCTCAATGATGTAGTGTTTGCCTGTAAAGTATTTGCATCTTAGATAGACTGTCCACAACTTATAAGTTCAATCAAGCTGCGGGTTCCGGCTAGGATGCCGCGCTATTCTATTACACCACTTGTTCCACCACTTAAAAGGACCTTTCTAGGTGCCAGCTCTCCATGCTCAAGATTGTGTAAATCAATTAATGGGTATAGCAATAAAATCGATCTTCACTTTGACTCTGTGGCAAAAGTTAAATCAACACTTTTGAACTTACCTGATTTTACATAGTGTATCTATTGATAGATTAAACTGGCTGAAATTGTAATTATAAGAATGTCTACATTTACGAATTACATTATATGGCTTACTGTCTGTATTTTTTATAATATTTTAAATGCGGTGTTTACCTTTAAGTAATTGTAACATTAAGTTTTGTATTTTCGCATGCAACTAGAATAAGTTTAAATGTTAACAATTGTTGGTAGACCTCAACTAATAAATAAATAAATTATGAGATCAGTCACTAGATGCCAATTATAGTACTGTAAAGGTATACTATAATATTTCATTCCGTGACGGTAATTACAAGTAGGTTAAAATTGTATTTAAGGATGTATTTACATACTATAGTTGGTAATGAGAGCACGTTAATTTATGAATGTATTCAATGTATGTATGTATAACAAACACATATAGGCTTTTGTGAATTTATCCATACTTATGCTAGTTTTTTCCGATTTTAATTAGATAATGATATACCATCAGTAATGTGTAATAATCATGTTGTCGTTACATACCGCAGTAAAATCAGCAGACTTCATGTCTGCTTGTTGAATTCCAAGAAAGATGTAAATGATGACAAACAGCAATTGGTCTACTTCGGTGAACAGCTTCATCGACGCAGCCAAGAGTGCTATCCCGGAAAGTCTATTTCCAGTGTTCTTACGATAAGGTTCGTATCTAAATAAACAAATATTTTTAGTAACACAAATGTGCGATTGATTAAAATTTACTAGACTTCGCCCAGTTGTCGAATTTCAACAATCTATTTATATGAAAATTTTAAGTTGGTTTGTGTAGGTCAAAAACTCAAAAAGTTATGCAGCGATTGAGCTCAAAGTTTGACACAATATAGTTACAACAGATAGTTAAAAGATAGTTTTCATCATTTTTTTTCAAACACATTGTGCCAAATCGTAGCGTGACGTTATTTTATAATTTGTTTTTTTCATTGGCCAGTACGGCTTGAACTGCCATGTGCATACTTAAGTTTTAGTTAAATTTAGTGAAATAATTAGAATTAACGCTAATTATTTCTAAATTTAATTTAAACTATTTTCTGACCTTTTTTGTTACAGTTATTAATTTTATATTTTTACAGAAAAAAACGTCTCCAATTTTTTTTCCTTTTTTTTATAAAATCAGTTTTATGGTTTTTAACGGACGGCATTATATTATGTTAACTTTAAATATTGAAAATTTAGCATTCTTTATTATTTCTTAAAAATTCATGCAAGAATACTTTTCACTTTCAACATATAGAAGACTAGCACAAACCAACTATTAGGATTTTTTTAACTTTCTACTGTTTTATCTTATGGTTCTATTATACCATGATGATATTTCTCTAATCTTATAGCTGTATGTAATCTGAAACGGGAAAATCAATATCTGGTTCCGTATTAGTGATTTTAGTGAACTATTTCTAGATAAATTGAAACTAATAAACCAAATGAGTTATGAAACAAAAATAATTTGAAAATGTCTGAGTTAAGAAAAAAGTTGTTTACAATTCACGGATAATACTATACTTACCGGAACAATGTAAATCTAACCAGGTATTTTGTTTGCCTTGTGTACCTTCTAAATATCTAGTTGACATGCACGCATGTATTTACAATTTTTAATCAGTTACCTTTTCATAGAATCTAATCCAAGAGCCACTACTAAAACCGAGGCCAATATAAATGCGAGGTAGACGCCTGTAATATAAAAGTTTTACTTTAAAAATTGTAAATCAAGCATAGAGTAATAACTATCTATACCTAAATTATATTTTCTGATGTGAATCTAATGGGGTCTGATCCCATTAGATTCATATTATTATTTTTTATTGTTGTAACCAACGTTATAAATGCGAACGAGACTTGTCTATTTGTTTTTAGGGTTCCGTACCTCAAAAGGTAAAAAAGGAACCCTTATAAGATCACTTTCTTGTCCGTCTGTCCGTGTGTCACCACCGATTTTCTCAGAAACGGGTAGACCTAGCAAGTTGAAATTTGTACAAGATACTGAGGTCTATAGTCCCTATTAGGTGTATAAAAATCAAGGTCCTGAGTCAACGCAATAAAAAGATATGGGCAAATTTCGGTTTTCGCGAAAACTTGTAAGTACCAAAAGAAAAAGCGTTTAAAAAATTGAGTTACAGTAAACTTAATCAACATTTTTTCAATGATTTATCATTACACCACCATGTGTCGTATAAGTCTTATAAGAGATAGGATATTTTTGATAATTTTATTTAAACTCAGTACGTAACGCAAATTCGCCATCACGTATTACTGACTAGGGATGCGTGGTGGCAATATTATATCATGGAACGTTTTATCAAAAATCGATCTTATAGCTTTGGCTGAAATATCTAACGAAGGTTCACCTATTATGACTATGAATTTGCTTCTGCCCACGGCTTCACTCGTACGGTAGAGTGGCTGAATCAACATAATTAGAAATAATTTAGAATATTTTTATTTAGACTCTCTTTAAACGATTTTAAACACACTAAAGAAATAGAATATAGTTGCGTTATTTTCCGACGTAAAAATATACACTATACAGTGTGATGAGAAAAATTCATTGTCATTGATAACGGCACATAAATAGACATACATCGATATTTTCAAAATGTCGATGCGTCGTCGTTTAGATCCTGTCAAGTTCCGGACTGACCACGTTTGTTATTTTATTTTTGTTCAATTTAGTATTAAACTCGCATAGACGTTATGCTTTTCTATTTTTTATTGCATATAGTGTTACTCTATTATGTATGATGTGACGCCTTTAAATGGTGTGCATTAATCTCAATTTAGTGGTGAATGTTTTAGATTTTAATAATAATAATGTAGCAACTACTAGCCGTTCAATAAGTAAATAAATTGCTTCTGCCTTGTGTAAATGTGTATAGAAGTACAATTGTTCGAATTATTATTTATAATTTATTTATTTATAGCAGGTATTACACCTGCTTGTTAAGAGACGACTTTTTCTATTGTTTTACCATGTATTGGTAAAATAACCTCCACCCTCTTAGGGAGTCGGCTAACACTTACAACAGCAAAATAGGATTATTCATGAGTAATAATAATGATAATAATATTTTCGGCTATCTGACACACAACGCCATCTAGTTTCAAACAAAACATTAAGAATATGTTAGTACTTAACCTCGGAACATTCAAAATCCCATATCTTTTTTCCTAGACTTCTTTCGCTAGTTATTTTAGTATGAGAATCTCGAAATTTTGCAAAAAGAAACGTCTTACAGCACAAATAAAAGAATAATTCCAAAAAAAATAAAAAATTGAAAATTAAGATAAATTTTGGTACAAGTACAAATTTTCGCGAAAATTGCCGTACCTACTCAGATTTTTGAAATATTGTTTACATTTCCCTAACTTTATTAACTTTAAATAGATTTAATGAATTAAGTGTGTGAGAAGTGTAAGAATGTATACTGGAAAAGTAGATATCTAATGAAGTAGATGACCAATCGCATCTTGTCCGTCCGTCCGTTTCTTGTCTTCTAACAGTGACAAAAATCTTCGATCAACAAATAATTTGCTTCTCTTGTGTCCCTCCCACAACTCTGATTTCGTGAACTAATCGTTCCTTGTGCAAGTAGTGCTGCTCTGGAATGCGATACCACTCCAAATCAGAATGTCCACAAGCCGTTTCGCATTCAAAAAGAATGTACATAATTAACTTCTCGACGAGAGTGCGGAAGTACCTTAACCAATAGTGCACCTCCTTAAATTCAAGTATTCACAGTGTACGAACATAAATAAAATGTGGATTTATATGTATATTTATCTATAAATATGTGTAATTGTATAATATATGTAAATTTAGCAAAGTTTTACATACTTATTGACAAAAAAAACCAGTGATTACAATTATTACCTCGGTGCACCTACCCTACAAGATTTATACACCACTCAAAGGTTTGCTGGTAGAGAATGCGCAGGGCATTAAGTCCGGCGATGTACATAAGTGTATGAAGATGTAAAATAAAATAAAAAAATATTTATTTTGTGTATTTACCTGTTTATTATATAAAACATCCGCCTTTTAGGTCTAAAGAATTTTTTTCGGACCAATTTACACCATATGAACTGTAGAAATATTACAGAAAAAAAAAACACCTTAAAAATAACCTTTTACATGACTAAATAGCGATTTAAACTGAAAAAAACTTTTACAACAACTCTATGCGTAAACAACACAAAATCCGCGACGCCCCGCCCCGCCCCGTGACGTCATACAAAAGTGCGCGGAAAATAGTAGCGTTTGATCATGGCGAATTTAATCGATATTTTATGTTTACTATATTTAAACGAAGTGAAAAATTAATTAAACAAATAAAAAAATATATGCATTATTCCCCATTGAGTAGTTTAGATGTAAATAAAGTAACAAATAAAGTCACTTTTCTATAATATTACTTAGGATGATTATCTAAACTAAATCAACAATTTCATTATTTGCCATAAGATAAATAATAATATATGCGGACATCTGACACACAACGCTATCTAGTTTCAAACTAAGCAGAGCTTGTACTATGAAAGCTAGACTGACTGATAGAATACTTGTATACTTTCTTTTTGTAATACATACATATTATACATAGAAAACAAGTAGATTTAAGAAGATTGAAGATAACAATCGGAAGACTGTTTGACTTCAAATCAGTTTTTGGACAATAGGTACCTGTGAGCATCAGTATTTTCTCAGGCGGTTGTGTTGGAAGAGCAATTGACGCGTTCGTATTGACTATAAAGTTGGCGCCACACAGTTGGGGAATCATGGAATCATTTATTGTTGTAATTGAGGCTTTATTATTGGTCGAAAGCACTGGAATCAACACAAAAGGTAGAATTAGACATCGGTCACTGTCAAAACTCTTTTTATAAAATAGCTTACATAATGATAAACATTTTCTTAATAGAATTATCCGTTTATTTTAAGAGTTATGAAACACTTGATGACTGTTGTCTCTTTCTAACTCAATAAGACAAATGTAATAAGAGTAACGTGACTTCTCCTACTTCTAAATTAAATAGACTCGTAAGCTTAAACAAGTAATGCTTATTTGTAGTGAAATTTAGACTCATAAACCATGATTGATTGCAGTCACACAAATTAATTCCAGACACAAAAAAAATATCTGACAATCTTGGCAGTAATAATGGTAGCTAATTTATATTAGAGTTGGTTTCAACAATTCTCTACAGGGATCTTCATTCCATTATTATTTTATATTAAGTTTTTAAATACAATAGTATTTTAATATGCATGTGAGTTTTTAATTGTATAACCTTGAGTACTAGTTATATTTTATAACTGTTATGTTCATCAGACAAGCAAAACCAAGAGATCTCAAATCCAAGTCACCGAGTCAAACAACAACAACAAACAAAATGAGTGAGTTGTCTGGAAGGTAAATTTAGAAGGGATGGAAAGTATGACAAATGGGAGAAGAGTTTATTTAGAAACTTAATAAACGATGCCCTGCTTTCTCTTTTAAAAATGGTCGAACGTATTACATTACACGTAAATGTAAAAAAGGCGCGAGCTGCATGTCGCGATCGTGGATATTGGCTATCTATCCTCTCTGCCTACCCCAGACGGTAATTGGGTTTGAGTGTTTGATATATATTAATCATTGCTTCATCTGACGATTGATGAGTAGGCAGAAAAGTGTTGTTGCCTTGTATAAACTTCTAAAATTTGGGTTTCAAAGTTGTATTAAGAATTTTCTAAATAGCAGATAAGCTATATACTCGTAGGTACTTCACTATCGTTTGAAAACCAACTAAGTGAAACAGTCAGCTAAACCTACTCTCTGGAAGACGATTATAAAGCTATTCTTGTTTGTACACTTGGCAGACCTCGTTTATTAAATGTTGTAACAAAATACGAACCGCTCAGTTTGTGTAAGTGGTAAGTATTGTCGACTGGTTTTATTCTCTTCGTAATTATTATGAATGGCACAGGAAAATCCGAAAGGTTTAATACTTTAGCTCATAAACAAGGTGGGTTATCGCCTGCCATAAAGAGCCCTGAAAATCAGAGAATTGAACCATCGGCTTTTTTAATATAACCAGAGTTAGATGTTTCATTTTGGTCCTAATCTTATAATTTGTTTATTTTTCTTTGTCTTTTATCTTTCTTTCAAATAATGACTTAAAATAACCTTTGGTTATCAATCAGTTGATTAATATTATTTTAGCTTTTGACGTTATCAATGATCTTTAACTGTTTAATAGTAGGAACGTGTCTAGCAACAAGGTCCAGAGTTTATCCGAGCATTACGATGTCACGTGTTCGTCTGACACTAATACATGTCATCTTAATGCTTTTATTTACTTAACTATGTAATTGTTAATTGTCTGTATTACTAATAGATTCATCACAATACAATATTGAAACTTTGAATGCGAGACACGTTATACCAATGTCGAGAAACTTCATGATGGCAAAGGGATCCCATACCCGGAAGCCACACTCATGACTATGGATCAGAGCGTGTTATGTAGGTAAATACTCAGCACAAATAGGGTAGATTTCTATCCATTAAATATCATTTTTTTTGAAGTGTTTTTAATATAACATTAACATTGAAAATTATTAATTTAACAATAGCTAGGTGTATAATGTACCACCTTGCCTTGCTATTTCATACAAAAATGTGCTGATTCTAATCACCCCATATATTTAAACCGTGGCAATGTGTGTTAGTGATGTTTTAATAGAGGAATATGGTTGGCCGACATTAGTTTGTTGATACATTAGTTGGTCGACATTGAAGCCCACTAGCCCTTTTTTTTGTTGACGGGGTGGAAAATCCCTTCAAATCTTCTGCTCCTCGGGGACTTATGAGCCAGTAGTATGTGTTGATTTCACAAATAACTACCCCGACGGCAGGCCTCAGGTGCCCTGCTCTGGGAGGACCCGGACCATGTTATTTCAGGTCCTCCCCGAATTGACACCATGCCTCATCAGGTCCTATCCTAGGGAAAAACACTTCCCCTTTCAATCGGAGGCCCAATTGCATCTTATTCCAATCAGACCGCAATCCTATCCTAACCCCACTAGCCCTAGGTGCGGTTACACTCCAAAGACTTTAAAAACTAAACTATCTAAACTAGAAATCTCGTCTACTGAGTTATCTTTTCATTAAAATAAAATAATCTGTAATTCTAATTACCTAATGACGAAATTAGATTGCCCCAAATTTGACCCGTCTGGTAAAATGTGTAGAAGAATCCAAAGAAACGTTGTAGGATCACTCCTGCAGATATTTTGGATAATGTGCTATAAGCGTCTGCAGCCTACAATAAAAAAAGCATATATGTTTAAAATATCATTTCAAAAGAAACTTTGAGAAATTAGAACAATTAATAAACTAAGAATCTAGTGAAAAAGTGATAGATTTCTCTTAATTCCTATTTCTCTCAAATATATGTTATAGTTAAAAAAAAATTCTTTACCACTGACAGATAGGTACACATAGCACACCAAAGCGGACCAGATGCTAGACCCAGTAAAAAGGCAGCTGGGATCAATGTGTAGAATCGGGCGTGCATCTGAGATGCTATGAATGGCACGTAGATAATAAGAGAACACCACATTGCCGATTTTGTACCGAGCCATCTGGAAGTATATTTTTGTTGTATATAATTCTGTTATGTTTGCACGCAAATGTGTTGTGATTTTTTTATTAGGAGCAACAAATCTGTGGTATATAGGAGATAAAGTCGATTGCTTATAAATCTTTTCTTTGTTACTAGTAACTTTTTAGTGAATGATTCACAAAGCGATCTATTTGTTTTAATTTAATTATGGAATACCATTTTGTATACAAATACAAAAATGTTTGTCTTAATCTTATCACTATTATTCAGCTTAATATTTATTATCTAAAAGACATCTTAGTTCAAATTTACATAACCTAAACTGTAATAGCTAAGTAGGTCAAGGTCAGTTTTAAATTAACATCCAAATTAGGTACTGACTAGTGCATGATATTTTCAGTTAATTCTTGATGAGTTTCTTTGCTGTCTCCGGCAACATTTTTTTATATTTCTCTTTGCTAAGTAGCAAAGAGAAATACAAAAAAAATGGATGGATTGATGGATATAAGTATATCCATCAATCGAGACGATTTTATAGAAAATTCTAGTCTTATGAGTTATTATTTTTTCTTCTGAATTTGTTTGGCCTTTACAAGAAAAGCAATGTATTTTTTTATGCTGATACTATGATAAAGTACTGCTATGATGCTATGAAACCATATGCAAATGATTAATCTTATAGAATACAACAACACAAAAAATATGCTTAAATTAATAAACAACTCACACATGCATAAAAATAACTTTTGTTACTAATAGTAGCAGGTTCATGAAAATAATTAAATTATTGTCATTAAAGAAGTGTTATGTCAAAAACTTACTTTAGAACAAATCCAGATAGGAATATATTTGAGATTAGAACACCGGCATATATTGATGCCAGTGACATTGTACCCAAACCTGCCTCTGCGTTGATCGAACTTTGTAGGTTAGCAGCACCCTGTACAAACGAAGACCCATTAAGAGACAAAAAAAACATGTGCTTATTTTGTTTTTTTTTAGGGTTCCTTACCTCAGAAGGTGAAAAAGGAATCCTTATAAGATCACTTTCTTGTCCGTCTGTCCGTGTGTCACCACCGATTTTCTCAGGAACGGGTAGACCTAGCTAGTTGAAATTTATACCAGATACTGAGGTCTATGGTCCCTATTAGGTGTATAAAAATCAATGTTCTGAGTCCACACGATAAAAAGATATGGGCAAATTTCGATTTTCGGGAAAACTTGTAAAATTTTCACGAAATTCGAAATTTACCTAAATATCCATTTATTTTTATTTTTGAACTTTCTCTTTACTTGTGCTGTAAGACCTTGCTTTTAACCAAAATTAACAATTCTAGGTCAACCGGAAGTACTCTATAGGTTTTGGGTCGAAAACCTATATGGTAGTTCCCGTTGACCTAGAATCACGAAATTTGGAAAAATGAAACGTCAACAAAAACAAATAAAGGAATAATTCCAATAAATAAAAAAAGTTGAAAATTTAGATACATTTTGGTACTTACAAATTTCGCGAAAATCTACGTAAGATCTGGGTAGGTACGGAACCCTCGGCGCACGAGTTCGACTCGTGCCTGACCGGTTTTTTACCATTTCAAGTCAAACACGAAAGAAATAGACTTAAGAGTGGTCGATAAGTTGGCTAGGTACTTGCGACTTGTTTTAACTTCATCCTTTACAAGAACGAATTTGCCGAACACAAACTTTTTTATGTTTGTTAGTAATTGTTAAAACATTACGTTTGGTGTTATTTAATAATCAAACATCTACGAAATTTAGTTTTAACGTAAGGCAAGGAGTTATCTATTTAGAATCTTCCACGTAGCAGTTATATAACCGTTGACAACGTGACACTTCGGTTACAGCTGCTGTAATTGTAACACAAAATATCGGATCGATAGGATATTCTTTCTTTACTATGTCAATTGGTAATATTTTAAACGTCAGCATTCTTTAGAAAAATATAAAGTTTAAATTTAAAGTGCCTATTTACGTATATATTTCTATTTAAATACTCACACTGTAGGCTATAAAATACATCATGAATGTAAGACCAATAGCACCTACATTCTTCACTATCCGCCATTTTTCATTTGGCTTCAAAGCTTTCTCTAAGACAACTTGGTCACTCATCTTCAACTATATGTAATTTCACAGTAATTAACTTAGTAATTATGTTTTGTAAAAATCTTATTGGTGTACAATTACATAGTTTTAGATAGACTTTGCACTATATTTAATATTTTTGCACTATATTTAAGTAAGGAATGAATCAGTAAACATCGTTCAGTGCTACGAACAAACTGGAAACGATGCGCGTAACTTTAGCTATACACTTAACACCAATCGAATTCTTAAAGACATGCTTATGAATACATGAATACATAATATAATATATTTTGTATACCAGTTAGTACCCGCGCCATCGTCTGAACTAAATTATTATAAATGTCAAGAAATCATATTCATTTCAAATACATTTCATCAATGTTAAGTTACATTTTTTAATACTTTCTATTTCTTATCTCTATGCTAAAGGTCTTACAAATAGGCTTAGCAGTTTTTACCTGAATCATGACAGGTAAAAGGTTACTTTTAAAATTATTAAATCAGTAGAAATTAGTAGTAAGTTACATGAATAAATTCGCAAATGATGGATCATAAATATAAAAACTCTTATACTCTTTTAAACTATTTTTAATAGTTTCAACTTGGATATAACTATCAAACCAAATCTCTTTTTCCAAACGTAGATCCTGAAGATGAATATTCAAAAAAACTCCAAGGACCCTTTACCAACATCATCATCATCAGCCTATCGCAGTCCACTGCTGGGCAAGGGGCTCTCCCATTGAACGCCAATTCAATCGATTTTCGGTTTCTCGCATCCAGCTCCTGCAACCATCTTGCGCAGATCTCGCCTGTGGGCGCCATACACAGGGTTTGTCTAGGCAAAATTATACATAGGTACGTCATCCGTGAGTGGAGACCGCGTCTAGGATCGTTTATCGGATACAACAACTGATAGTCAATTATTTTGTTCTTTTTCACAGAATGAGTGAAGTTACCAAAGGCCCGTTTTCCTACCCCCTCCCTAGCTCCCCTTTTTAGGGGGAATCTCTTTTTTTAGGTGATTCTTAGGGGAGATCACTCAAAGGGCGCCAACGAACTTGTGTTGACTCGTCTGTCCGTTTGCCCCTCGTTAAAGAAGAAGAGTTACTTAATATTTTTTGTGACTTTAAAGTTTTAACCATCACAAATATCTAGTAATCATTAATCGCTTTGTTAACATAAAATGTTTCAACAAAGCGATTAATGCGATTGGGTCCTTCCATATTTACCTGTCTAATAGTCAACCATCAATACAGTCTCCTTATCCTTCGAATCGGTTTTATTTTTCTAGTAATTGCCTTTTTTGGCAAATTAATATTAAAAACTTAGTTTCATTAACATATAACAATGATTGTGATCATGAACAAGACCATCTTAGTCTCCGTCAGTCGGGTCATATTAGGTCCTTACATATGAAATTGGCGTTTTGTACGGGTGGAATATAGTCTTTTTTTTTGTAAAATTTATTTAATTAATCAAAGTATGCACCGCTGTTATCTGTGCACTTTTGCCATCTCATAGGTAGTTAATTGATCCCTTTACTAAAAAAACCATGGGGGCGAGAATCAATAAACTCTTTGAAGGCGGTTTGGGCTGCCGCATCGGAGTTGATTTTTTTCCTTGTAAGAAGTTGTCCAAATTCCGGACCAAATTGTAATCTGTTGGAGCAAGGTCCGAGGAGTACGGTGGATGTCGCAGACATTTCAATTGCAACTCATCTAACTTAGTGGTTGTTTGTTGTGCAGTGTGTGGCCTTGCGTTGTCGTGAAGCAGCACTGGCCTAGAGCGATTGACCAATCTTGGTTGTTTAGCAACTAGTTCTTCCTTCATGCTTTGCAGTTGCTGACAATAGATATCTGCCGTAATCGTTTGGCCAGATCTTAGAAAACTGTAGTGAACGACACCAGTGCTAGTCCACCAAACACTCACAAGTAACTTTTTCTGAGTCAATTTTCGTTTAGGGCAGGATTTGGCTGGGTCTCCAGGGTTCAGCCATTGCGACGAGCGCTTCCGATTATCGTACAGTATCCACTTTTTATCACAAGTAATGATTCGATTTAAAATCCCTTCATTATTGTGTCGGTTGAGCAAAGTAACCAAGCAGTCGACGCGTGTTTGCAAGTTCGATTCACTCAATTCACGAGGTACCCATCGTTTTTTTACTTTCCCGATTTGCTTCAAGTGGATTAATACAGTTTTATCAATTACCCCCAAGCCTGCAGCTATCTCTGAAGTGCTTTGTGATGAATCCGCTTCCACAATAGCCTTTAATTCTTTATTTTCCACTTTGGTCTCCGGCCGTCCAAGGGGTTGGTTCTGATGGTCGAAATTTCCAGTACGAAAGCGTTGAAACGAAAAACGAACGGTGCATTCTTTTGCGACACCAGCACCGTACACATCATTAATCCTGCGAGCTGTTTCTGCAGCACTGGTGCCACGGTAGAACTCGTACTCATAAATATACCGATATTTCATGTTTTCCAAGCGACGCCAAAGAAAAATAATAAGGAAAAAACATATGAATGACTGTTTTCAAAACTCAAATGTACCAGCTAAATGAATTTATAAATTTGAATTTGGAATTTTTAACCAAAGAGGAGATAATTCAGATTAAAGTGGTCAGTACGACAAAACGCTAATTTCATATGTAAGGACCTAATATATTAGTAGGACAAAGCATGGCCAAATGGACAAACTTACATGCCCATTAATTTAAACATAAATCTTTAAAAACTTAGTTACTTCAAATATGCATGCATTTTCAAGGGGGCGGCAAAAACAGAAATTGAAACGAAACCGAAACTTTTTCATAATTTGCATGTCTAATGTATTTTTATCTCATCATATTCTCTCTATTGATCAGTGTACGAAAATAAATGCAAATATTTATAGGCTTTGAATTACTTTATTAAACGTAAGTATGTATAATTCTAATCACTCAGAATGCGGTCGCGGGGTTTCCAAATATCCTATCACATCACATCAACAGCCTTTAAAAGTCCACTCCTGGACACCTGGCCTCTTCTTAGAAAGGAGGCTTTGGCCCACTATATCACGCTGGCCAGACGGGTTGGTATAGGGTTTGTGTCAAGTTTTCCTTCCCAAATATCCTATACCTATATATATATTTTTAGGGCAGCTTAATTCTGGCATTATTGCGAAAGTAAGACGATTTATGGAGGATTGGCTTGATAGGAAATACGGGAGCCTCTGATATTGGCTAACGCAAAGGAGTTGGAGCAAAGGCATGCTGGAAATTCGCAATCAGTCAAGAGGTCATAACTTCTTTAGGGGCATTGAGCGGTTTCTAAATCACTACACATCAGGAGACGTAAATGACTCGGGGCCCGTTAACCTAACAGGGATTTCCTTTCTAGGTTACACTTGGTTGCCCGGCTACTGCCTGAGATGGCGCGGCATGCGGTGTTAGGGCCGGCGCTGACTAACGTCGCTTCAAGGCATGGCACGGCAGACTGTCTCCTTCGGTAGCCGAAGGATGCTATGGTATGAAGCAGCATGCCAAAGCATACCGCGTCAAGTCGTTGCATTACGCAGAAAGCCCAGCCACTCAATAGGGCCCGGCGCTGACTGACATCGCGACCAGGTACGGCTTGGTATTTTTTTTATTTCTGATCAAGTTCTCCTCATCTATATTTCCATGTGTTTAGAATTCCTATCATTTTACTTTTAACTTTTCGATACAACTACACCGTACTATTACGTAATACAATTGAAATAAGGTTTAAGCCGGATGGGGTGCAGCCAGAGCTGGGCGCGTTTGCAAAGGAGGAAGCACGCGCGTATCGACTTACACTGAGTGTCTCTCGTGTTCTCCACAAATGATATACCCAGAATTGTTTTTTCTCAATATGTCAGTTTGTGTTTGTCTCTCTTCATCTGCAGCTAGAACTGCTTGTAATACTAAATCCCAGTCAGTCAGTTTGTATCCTAGAGGGGGGGCTATACTCCTGCGACCTATGTAACTCGCGGCATATGCTTTCATAATAATCTGTAGAATGAAACCGCATGACACGACATGCTGCGGCGTCCCGCGACATTCCACAACATGCCGCGGTATAATTGTATCGAAGTGAAGTAATATGATGTCTAAACTCATTGAAATAAGGATAAAAATAACTTATTCGGAAATTAACTTCATTAGCACCCCTCTGGCTGTCCGATGGGGGATGTCCGAAGGGCGATTTCCGCAAGTAAAATGGGCGGCTTCATTGGTTTTGCACGCGGGCGCTCGAGCAGCGCGGCGGCCCTGCGCTGCGTTAGTGGAGGCCTTGGGTTCGATTCTCGGGAAAAAAATTATCGGGTTTTTCTAAGAGGATAAATCCTTTTTTTAAAGTTGAATAGACTACTAACAATACTAACAAAGAACACTAAAAACCTATCAGCATACGCGGTTGATTTTCTGTCATTTTTTGAAGAGTTCCGTTGTCTGTCTCCAAACCTCATGATCAGATCTATATGAAATTTACATAGGACCGTTTAGGAATAAACCCATTTCGAACAAATAAGAATATTGCAAAATCCGTTCATATACATATAGCGGAGTTATCATACAGTACATAAACATCGGAATCGACAACAAACAAAATTGCCTAAGTTACTACTTACTCGTATATAGACGGCTACCTGATAGTAAAATATTATCGAAATCAGTCTAGCCGTTTAGAAGATTACCCGGAACAAACAGACAGACGGACAAAAAAAATAAAACTGGTTTTTAGACATAGGTATAGTGCAAATAATCGTGTGAGCATGAAAAAAACCTACTATTTTGACATTACAAACAGACATTTCAATTTTATTTATTTGTATAGAAAAGTATTGGTCTCAACATTCAGTTGAATTCAAGCTTAAATAAATACATCTTACATTAAAGTAATCCTCTACTCTAAGGCCTTCCCCAAGGTTCGCCACAACAATCGATCCTGTGCTGCTCGCATCCAGCAATACGTCTAAGCACAATAGAAAGTAATACTGGTAATAATAATAATAATAATAATAAAACACCTTCCTTCCGACTTATGTAGACGATGCCATAGCAGTTCCGAAACCATCCAACACATCACTGGTTCTTGTAAATCTATTGTACAAACTGATTATAAACACAGACATGACCAAGTTGCAGCAATAACCCATCAAAATCTAGCTCACAAATACTCATTTATTTCAAATAAAACTGCTTATTATAAATATAAACCCAGTACAGTTCTAGAAAATTATGCATTTAAAATATATTGGGATAGGACAATAATTACCGACAAAACCATACATTATAATAGACCCGATATAACAATACTAGACAAAACTAACAAAATAGTTTTTATTATAGACATAGTAGTATGTAACACACACAATCTCCTCACGACGCACACAGAAAAGATGACTAAATACACAGACTTAGCAACGGAAATAAAAAGGCAATGGCAGGTAGATATAGTTAAAATAGTACCCATTGTCATATCTACAACTGGTGTAGTACCGAAGACTCTTCAAGATAGCCTCAACACATTGGAAATGCCGAAATCCTTTCTCATACTCTTACAAAAAGCAGTCCTTCTTAACACATGCCGTCTCACACGCAAATTTCTCGCTTCATCCTCATCATCTTAACTTCATATCATCATCCCTTTTTGGCACACTTGGCTAAGGCCCGTGTGTTAGATTTTGTTACCCCTTTAAAATAAAAGGGAGACCAGACAAGGTATAAAATGACATAATAATAAATCTTTATTTCAGAATAGTTTCCATATAATGTTGTTTATGATGTTTCTTTATTTTGGTTACAATTATTTATGTAGCTATCTGTAACCATTTTTTAAACATGGAACTGTTACATACCCTGTCAGCAAGTTCCTTTAATTTTATGTAATAATAAAAAGAAACTTGACAGGACTCTTTTTAGCGAAACTGTCTCAGTTACATCGACATTTTCATTTAAGAAGCAACTCACTGGACTTCTTACGAAATTAACAATAATTTACACAGTTATTGTTAAATTCGTAATATGTCAATAAATACCTTATATATAAAATAGTATCTATATATATTAGCAAAACTTACGCTAATTTAAAGCACGACTGACACTTTACTGAGAACTTCATTTCTGATCAGTATTCGCTTGCTCTTTATTTTCACTCCTTACAAAGCGTTACTACGCCAATAATTATCTCTATTCTTTATGTCGTACATATGTATTTTATTTAACCTCATTCAGGGTTCAGTTATTACTTTTATGGTTAACAAAAACATATAACTTCTCTTATTTGGTATTTTGCATCATCAATTCATAGGTTGGTAATTCCGCATACAAGACAAAAGTTAATATGCTGGTAGATGTAGTGGTAGGATAGATTTTAGGAAAATTTAGTATATGACATGCTTGTTGGTCTAGTCTGGTCTGGTAAGTGATTCTAACAACTAAGCTAGATATGATTTGGGATTCCACTAAAACAATTAACTGTGTTCAGAGCACGGTCATTCTTTCGTCGTTTGAGTGTAATTTATCTATATACATACGTGCAATATGTACGTATTCAATAGCATTTAAATACGTTTTAGTACACGTGTAGTACGGGTTAGTACAGTGTAGTAGTTTCGGATGGTTTGGGATCAGACAGCCATGAGTGAGATGTTTATTATCGTATTATCGACGAGTCAGTAAAAATAAATGCAGAACCCATTCCGTCTCAAATTTTTATTTTTATTAAACTTAAAGCTACGTCTTACATGTACGCAGTACACACGTATACATTATGAGAATTCAGAATGACGAGAAGTATTTATTAAAAAAATATTAAAATAGAAAATAAATTTTGAGGAAAAGCGTGAGAGGGGTGCTTTTTACTATTGATAACAGGCACTCAACGCTTTTTTTCAAATTTATTTTATATTTTTTAGTTTGGTTTTCTATAGAAAGCGTGTTTTTTAGTTTTTTTAAACTATTTTTATTTTATTTTATTTTTTTAATTAGTGTATTGACATCGGTCCTCGATATATCTACAAAGTTTGAACGAATTCTGACCGTTTAAAGTCAGTCAAAATCACGCCGAAAGGAGTCGGTTACAAACATACAAGTGAAGCTAATATAAAGCGTGTAAATACTGGTATTGCTGACTTGATTAAAATTAGTAATAAATGATTTTTATTAAATCTAATTCCTTTTCAAAGGAATCTGGGTAGTAGTCAACCCAAAAGTGGTAGTAAAAGCACAGCTACGATTAGTTTGGGTTTAATTATTGTAATTTATTAGAATAACATTGCTACGTATGTATTACAATTATGTACATATATACTCACGACTATGTCCCTAAGGGGTATACAGATATGTTATCCAACACTATAACTATAACTATTCTCACTAACTTATATAAGACAAGAGTATTATACTCAATCGGTCCCTACTGCGTATTATGAAGCATGTTTTAAACATTTTTTTCCAATTTTAGAATATTTCTAATTTTTTGCTACCGAAATTAATATCTATACATTATTACAGCACATTCACAGTAGGTTCTAAGTACTATTAATGTTGTAATTTGTTACAATCGAATATTAAATCCATACAATATTACAATATCTTACATTCACAATTATAGGTTGCTGTTTTCATGAAATTTTAATCAAGACAGTACCAACCTCAAATCATTCATTAGTCAACCATATACTTATGTTTAGTATTACAAATAATTATCTAATAACATGTTACTTGTGTAACTCATGCGTTAAGTAACACCGATTCCTGGTTGTTATCTTTATTTAAGTTTTCAAATTCCTTTGTTATTTTTCTGTCATTTCTATGTTTGTACTCTAATGTAAAATATCCCACCATCCCCAGAATTAAACTACACATGAGTAGGTAAATCTTGTATCGTGTCCTCACATAAGATGAAAATACAAAAATGATTATGTACCCCAGTGATACAAATAGTTGAAGACTTGAAAACGCCGCTTCTTCTTTACCATGAAATACGCTCCCGAAGTATGCTGTAACAAAAAACATGAGAACTGTAGCGTTATCGTAAAATAATTCTTTGGAACATAGTAATTGTATATATACAAACAACATGTAGATAGGCCACCAACGCACAAAACGCGCTGTGAATTGGTCCTAATTAGGACCACTGCGAGCGAGCTCACATACTAATTAATTCAAGCACATTCATAAAATACCTTCCTGTGCATATCATTAGGTTTAAATTCTTCACTCCAATGGCCGGCAAATTTATTTTAATTTAGTTTATTTATTTTAATAATTTATTATAATAAAAATAAATAAATCATTTCCTCAAAAAACGTAATATATTTTCAACAACCGATATTTATACCGATGCCGATGGCCACTCGATGGCATCTCAATAGCGTGTCAGTGGTATGACAGTGGCTTGGCGTAAACATAAAATAGCAGAATTGAGGCCCTGTTTAGATGTTTGTCCCTTCATCGTCATCAACAGCCTTTAATAGGACATAAGCCTCTCCTTAGAAAGGAGGTTTTGGCCTACTTTACCGCGACCTACGACCTACTAGCCAGACAGGTTGGTATAGGGTTTGTGTCAAGTTTTCCTTCTCTCTGCAGTGCTGTTGTTCTGCGTAGTTTTCTCCCTTACATTTGTCCCTTATAGCAAAAAAATATAAAAAATAATTGAGCCATCGTGGGACGTCTGGCAGATATAAAACGTTGAAATTATTTTGTAGAAATAACAAATAAAAACACACCACATTACATATTACATATACTATCATATAGCGTGGCGACGCTTGCCGTGGCAACCTGGGTATGACCCCATTAGAAAAATATCTATTTGGAGACCCCTATCGAACGTTGTACATGTATCGAACGAGAATTGTTTATTTGATTTTTCATAAAAAGTTTCAAACACGTCATTAGGAGTGTAGGAAAGGACACCCAGGCTTATGTTGTTTTTTATTTTTAAAAGATATCCAGTATCACGGGTGACAAGTTGTGGATCACACAAAGCGTCGTCCCATGTGGGAATCGAACCCACAACACTCAGCGTAGTGGGAAGCGGCATGGCGACCTTGAAAATCAGCGAGTAGTAGCAGTTTAAGGATTGCTATACATTAATAGTCCCAGCCAGGCGTTAAAATCGAATATAATAATTATGTAGATGACTGCTCGGGAATCACAAACCGCTTTTTGCTTGTCTCAGATTTGAGGTGTAGTGTGCGGCTTGCCTTACCTTATATAATTTATAACATTATTAAACCGATTATGGAACCGTACAGTTGTCTATAAATTACCTACGTCACATGTACGTGTACAAGATTAGAACGTACCATTTATTTGGACTATCCAAATAGAGTCGCTAACACCCCACAGTAGAGCTAACAGGAACAGTAAATAGTCGTCTCCAGCACGTGGCCGCCATAGTAGCATAGTCAAGAGTAATCCCATATGAAGTATGAATGCGCTGACGACAAGTGACATACGACCGAATACCTGAAATAATTAATGCTATTGGTTAGTAAAGCGCTAATTAATTATAGGTACACCATTGCCTATTTCTACATTTTAAAAAACGAGAATGAGCATAGGTCGTAAAGTATTTTTCACAGCCTACCCCCCTTTTTTATTTCTATTTTTTATAACACAACATAAATGTGAAAGTGAGTTTGTTTTTTTAAACGACAACTCAAGTACTAGGAATATATCCTGTGTCGCGGGGGACTTTACAAGCATACATGAAACGGACACAAAGACAACCCAGACTAAGAACAAAAATTTGTGGATCACACAACTTGTCGTCCCATGTGGGCACCGAACCCACAACACTCAGCGTTGTAGGAAGCGGCGTGGCGACCGCTTAAACTACGACGCCATCTGTGCAGTCACAGTTTGTAATTTTTGTTACGCTTTCACGCCTAAACCTCTCAATTTTAAGCGAGTAACATAGGCTACTTTTTATTCGACCGATATAACCGACCGATACACACGCGGGCGGAGCCGCGGGCTAAAGCTAGTATCAAATAAACTGCCCTTGTTTCCACATAAAATTGCCACAACCTAAAAATATTCATCAGATAAGAGCAGATCCTACCCATTATTTTTGCTGATGGCAGTCACTCGGCAAGTGCAAACTCTGATATACGCATTTATGCCGCTCCCACTTGTAGGCAAGTTACGGATCATCTTTCATGCCAGGGATAGATAATAGTCACACTTTACAAGAACATATCGAATAATAAATCTAAATTCAAGAAAAATGGTACACGTACCTTAGCCAAGTAACCATTGACGAAGCATCCTGCTGCATCAGATATTCCGAATGTCATCATGACGTAGCCAACTGATCCAGTGCCAATAACGCACGATACAAAAGACTGCAACAAAAAGTGTTAAAAGTATTTAAAAGAACAGAATTCAGAGTCTACCATGTACAAAAGGAAGTCGTAAATACTCCAAGTAACCATAAGCCAAAGTGACAAGCTATAAAAATCAGATCTCTTGAAAAATAGGGCATAGCAGGTTAATTCAAAATTAAGTACTTTACAAGTCTTAATACAAAGGGCCACGTACAGCAGTAAAATCAGCAATAAGGAATGCCTCTTCAAGTCCAATGAAAATGGATAGGGCATTGAACAGCAATTGGTCAGGGTTGGTTAACTGCTTCGACGTCGCAGCGAGGAGGGCGATCCCCGTCAGTCTATTGCCAGTGTCTTCACGACAAGATTCATATCTGAAAAGAAGTTTCAAAACCCAAATAGACACATATATATATGGTATTTCATATATGGTATTTCCATAAAGATAATATTAGTCTTGACTTTGTTTAGGTAGTACTATGTTTGTTTATAAGGAGTGGTGAATTCTTAATCTGTCACCACTCTTTTTCAAAAAATATTATCAAATCAGATGAACTAGGAATGTGAAATTACATAAAAGTATGATCACATAGTTTAAGTTTTTTTTCGAATGTGCTGTTGGTCTAGTGGTTAGTGACCCTGATTGCCTGATTGATTATTCATCCCTTGGGTGTCGTAAAGCCGACTAAGGGACAACAACAGTGCAAAGAAAAGGAATACTTGATACATACCCTATACCAACCCGTCTGGATGTGGTACAGTAGGCCAAAACTTCCTTTCTAAGGAGACGCCTATGATCAGCAGTGATGAAGTGATGTGATGTGATATGGTATAGGATGAGGAGCAGATGATTAACCTAACTAAGTAAGTAAGTAACTACCGCTCAAAATGGACACCACAAGTCAAAAGTGCATTGCCAGTGTGGCCAGTAGCATTGCATTAAATGGTTATCAATTAAGAATCAAATTATTGAATATATCATAGAACAAGTTAAGGAAAACAAAAAAAATGAATTAAGAATTTACCTTTTCATTGAATCTAACCCTATTGCAATAATAGCAAACGACAAGAACATGCATCCAAGATAAACGCCTGTAACAAAAATACTATATTAATTTTGGCCTAGCTTTTAGCCATATTTATTGGAAATGCCGTTTTCAGGCCTCTGAATATTTCGTTTTTTATTAACAGCCGTTTCCGGCCCCTCAGGCGCAGAATAGCACAACGTTTGATTCGTGCGGTGGTCGGTTGCGAATTACGATACACCACCCCCTCCGCGAACTCTGGTGAGTGTCAGCCCGGAGGGGTTTCGAAGTAATTGGTAGGTATTTTGTATTGAATCCGAATTTGATTAAGCGTGAGGCATTAGAAAAAGCCATAGAATTCGTACTCGATAGGCAATGAGTGTTGGTTATCACTTCTAGAATCTCTTCGCAATATTGGAAATGGGCGATTGTTGATCGGCATAGACATATGACGGATTTTTAATAGTAATAATTTGATTTAATTACATATTTTTTTTATTATTATTATATTTTTTACACGCTTTATATTAGCTTCACTTGTATGTTTGTTTGTGATTTTGACTGACTTTAAACGGTCAGAATTCGTTCAAACTTTGTAGATATATCGAGGGCCGATGACAATACACTAATTTAAAAAAAAAATAGAACCATAAAATAGAAAATAAATTTGAAAAAAAGCGTGGGGTGCTTTTTACTATTGACAACAGGCACCCAACGCTTTTTTTAGTTTGGTTTTCTATGGAAAGCGTGTTTTTTAGTTTTTTTTTTTTTTTTTTTATTGACGACCGTTGATTGATGGCGTAGTGGTTTGTGTAACGCACTGCTATTCCAAAGGTCGCAGCTTCGATTCCCTTCGGTTCAAAACACAAATGATTCGATTCGAAACATTTGTGTGCATGAACATTTAATTTTTTATTTGTTCTGGGAGTTTTTATGTATAATATGTATGTATTTACAAAAAAAAGCATTTAATATATACTTTTTTATGTATTTATATCAATTGTCTAGTACACATAGCACAAGCTCTGCTTAGTTTGGAACTAGATGGCGTTGTGTGAATGTGGTAGAATATTTTTATTATTTATTTTGTTAAATATTTGACAAAACATATTATTGCTATTGTGTGTGTTGATATATGAGTATGGCTTTAGAGTCTAAATAAGAAACGATTTCAAACAATAAAAAAAAATACTAAAGATATTTTGATTTTGAGTTAGAAATATCAAAAGTGATTGCAAAAGATTCCAGAAGTAAATTATTTGTTTACTTAAATCTTTTATCAAATAGACAGGAACAGAAAGACACTGCCTGATTTTAACGGACATCGCTTTACTTTTAATAATATTCAAGTAAGTTTCTCGTATTATTGAGTGATAAGACTCAAGCTACTTGCAAACCAAAATTGCTTTGGTACATCTCTACTATTCTATCATTACCTGATAACATTTGTATTTTCTCGGGTGACTGTGGAGGTAGATTGTCATGAGTATCGGTGCCTACTAGAAAGTTGGCGCCACACAGTTCCGGAATCATTGTTTCGTTTACTGAAGTCACTGCTGGTTTGTTATCTACCGAAAGAACTAAAACAAAAAAAATAGTTCTAGAGCATCTTATATAATATACGCATCTTATGCTCACTGGTGTAATTTAACTTTTTTTGATTACTGTACAAACACGCTGTACTGTACAAATACACTGCTGACGGCTGCTACTCGAAACAAATTTACTTAAAAAAATGTTATATAAAATAGAAAATTAAAAATATTCATTACCTAGTGAAGAAAATAAATTTCCCCAAATTTGACCCGTCTGGTAAACCATGTAGAAGTATCCAAAAAAAGTCTGTAGTAGCACCTTCGCTGGTATTTTTGATATTAGACTATGGGCGTGTGCAGCCTATAACAAAGTGCAATATACATTAACCTAATACATACATACATACTTATAGCAGATTATGAAAGTTATACCGACATTTTATCAACTATACTAAGGTCCCACTCACGTATTGCTTAGGTACTTGCTGCTTATCTAAAAAAAGAAGCAATGTCACTTAGGTAGCTTTGTCTGAGGCTGTGATAGACAAAACCGAATAGGTAGGTGCGTCCATGGTTCTAATGTAATCCTTGACATACACGACGGGGATATACGAATACTCAAGATATAATTTTGATGTATTTCCAACGTAATGGAGACAAGATTGAAAAAAATCTTGATATCTCCCCGAACAGGGGCCGTCAGGCGGTGCGGTGGACTTTTTGAGATTTTATAGAACATGGTTGTAATGAGTGTAGCATTGTCACCAACTTCGAAGAAAATAAATCGTTATCGTATCGTATGATATAAAAATTATCTTAGTCAAAAGAAAAATTTAAATATTAATTATAACTTTTTTCCTCCGTGAACTACTAAGGTTTCAACCGTCTCCACTCATAATCAATGATCAATCACACACGGGTAAGCTGGGTAATCATGATAAATTTTAACATGGCTATAGTGGCTATAGTTTAAATAGGTGCTACGAGTTTTACCCAGAGTTCAATATGAAGAAAGGTATAAATAGGCATATTAAAATATTATCTCGTGTTGTACACTCATGCATGTGACCAACTATCGTTATGATTTCATATATATCTGTATTATCTGATTATAATATGTGTGTGCATTGAAACTTCACACACACCGAAATATGCACAGAACCGGCGTACAAATATAAACATGGGACTGCATTTATGACGACTTTCTGAACGTCTAAAATTGGGTAAATGTCAACTAAGTTCAGTAACTTATGTAAAGTTATTTCTGTCAAAACAGTTCTAAGTTTTCAGTAAAACTAAAAGTAAAGACTAACAAAAATTGAGTTTCCCTGAAATCATATTATTACACCTCTTTTCTTACAAATGTAAAAAACTACATATATTTTGTATTTACCACTGACAGATAGGTGCACACAGCACACCAAATTGGAGCAGACCCCACGCCCAAGAAGAGGCCAGCAGGTACCAAGGTGTAAAACTTGGAGTACACTTGGCTCAATATGTAAGGAACGTACATCATGATGCCGCAGCACATCGTCCATTTTGCACCAAGCCAACTGGAATTATCATATTTTTTTAAATTATGTACAAGTGAGACAATTTTTCTTGAGAGTTTACAAAAATATTGCATCTTAAGAAAATTTTAAACAAATCTCTTCCCCTTTATTTCGCACATACATTACACACATAATTAATCATTTAACAGTAACACACACACATAATGGTCTTGGAAGGCGTTAAGTCGTTTATTTCTCATATGTCCATCCAACCAAAAAACAAAGGTCTCTATTTTTAATTCTACTTTGGTTCGATCAACAATACAACTAGAACCAGTTGTATTGTTGATCAAAGCTACTTTGATGTACCTATCAATTAGTACTTTTCCATAAGAAAAATAAACCTATAATTTCTGTAATAACTTGTAAGTATGCTAATTAGAATATTATTTAATGTAAGAAATGTGATTAAAATGGAGTAGTTTTGGTAACGCTCTTTTAGATAAACCCTACTCTTAAAATTAATGGGAAAAATACATAAAAAACATCCTTGAAGCGGTTTGCACCTCGTGTCAAAATTTGAGCTCAATAGGTGTTGAAGTTTTTGAGCTTTAAAGCGTACACAAACCAACCTTTTTTTTCCGTGCTGAAATCCCCTCCGATACCACCTATCGGTGGCATGTCGGACTCGAACCGACTAAAACCGCACGCCGTCTCGGGTACTAATAGCCGGGGAACCACTTATACCCTAGAAAGGAAGTCCCTGGTGACACAAACCAACCTAACATTTTCATACATATTAATTGTGTCATTTAAAACAAAGCCCATTAAAGTCCATACCTGTTTGATGTCGTATTTACTATTTTTAGGACACAATTATTTTACATAAATATGCTATTATGCTTATCAATTTGTTTAGCACATTATAAATGTTCAACATTGTGTTTTTGGCAAAGATGTATTTTTTTAGGGTTACGTTTTTGTTGTATTGACATTGTAGATTTTTTAAATTGTGGGCCGGATGGACTCGTGTATTAACATAAGAAATATGGGGCAAATCAGATTACAGAAATTGCGTTTAGGAAGTATAGTACGAATTAGTATTCGTATAGTATTTGTAGTTTCATCTACAATTCTACTTTATCCAAAACACAACTTGTAGGGTTAACTGGCATATTTATGTAAGACTAGCTAGAAACCAGCTGTCGTTACCTTAGACCATTCATCATAACTTACTTACTAAAGTGTTAAGAAAATTAATAAAAGCATGAGAAATAAAAAATTAATGACTTATTAATTAACAATAATTTCTTGATGAGAATGCCATTTAAATACAATTTTAATTGCCTTTTTTATGATAGTAGAATTAATAGTCAGTATAGGTAAAATCAATTTTATAGGGCTCTCTCTTCCTAGCAATAGCCAGTGCGAGTTATAAGTATGACTGAGACCTGTTCGAGCAGTTCAAAGATTTTATTCACGCTTCAAAATTCGTCCGTAAAAGCATTGCGCTTTCCTTCCATTAACATTCCCTAGCTTTCCTATCCACATCTTTACATAATACATACATGTGTGTGGTGACGGATTAAGAACCCACCTGTGGTTGTCATAAGAGCCGACTAAGGGAGCAAAATACGCAGAACAATAAATAGCACTGTACTGGTTGGTATATGGTTTGTGTTAAGAAAAACTTGATACAAACCCTATTCTATACCAACCCGTCCAGCCTGCTTGGTATAGTATGCCAATACCTCCTTTCTAAGAAGAGACCTTTTTTTTTCATGGCAGAGGGGTCAAATGAGCAGGCGGGTCTACCGCCTAGAAGTGACTACCGCCGCCCACAACTATAAATAGGAGTCACAAGCGCGTATCCCGCCTTTAGGAAGGAGTATGCTATCAGTAAGGAAATACCTCAGACGATAACTTTGGCCCCAAGTGCCTTAAAAAGCGTACAGAGGTGGAATGCCAACTATCCAAGTGATGGGGATCAAACTATTGCCGTGTGGAACGAACAATTATTCGGAGCACTCTCCATGACATATACGATAGAGGGATCGATCTGATCGGAGATCTTTTAGTTATCAAAGATTCGAGTCGCTCTTTGTTGGATGCGGTCCAGAGGGAAAAGCTGGTACTGAACTGAGGTGTCTCTACATAGAGATGAGAACAGTATTCTATATGCGGCTAGAGTTGTGCCTTATAGAGTTGGAGGCGGTGTGCTAGAGTGAAATACTAACTCGATCTGTTTAGCACACCGAGCTTCTTCAAGGCTAATTTGACCTTACCCTCCAAGTGCCCCCGAAACTGGACTTCGCTGAGGCAATTAGGGAGGTTCTCTCAAACCGAGGTAATACGACCAACGGTTTTTTTTGCGGTGAACCTGTGTCTATTTTGGGTTAAAATGACCCCAATCTGAAACGTCCGCTAAGAAAATTTCAATGTCAGACACAGGTTTGTTTCAAGTCACGATGACGTTTGCCCGAGAAATATTGGGGCAGCTGGTATAAAGGGCATCTCCCATATTTTCATCATAAGTAACAGTGTGGGTGATAGAACACAGCCTTGCGGGACACCAGTATTTACAAATTTGAAGTCAGAGCATGCGCCGTCGATAAGGACTTTAATGCTTCTGTCTGCAAGGAACTGGTGACCCAGTTACATAGTTTCTCGGGAAAAGGGAAAGGTGGAAGGAAGTGCCAACAGAAATTCGCCTGGACAGCCTTGGCATGAGAACAGAATGCACGAGTTCCAGAAGGAAGTCTCACCTGTCTCTCACCAATCCGGCTGGTGTGCTCCGATTTCGCCATAGCAATGGTTTTCTTGAGGGACCTGGCAAAGTTATATTGTTTTTTTTAGCGTGTTAGTATTTACATCGCCTACCGTCGCTACAATTTCCCATGCTTGGTAATATTCTGCGTTCGGTGGGACACCGTTTTCCAAGATCTGCCACCGATGGGAATAAAAGTAGATGGAACGATTAGCTCCATGCAAAAAAAATGTGAAGAAAATGTCCAGCAGTAGACTATTTAAAGGCTGTTGATAATGATGATGATACATACATACCTTAACAGGAGAAACTTATACCCCAAAATTATAGGCACAGGCGTATTTTAAGCGAAAATCTATCTAGTGAAAGCTTTTGCCTACCTGAATTATACCCTATTTTTTTTTCAAAATTTTAAGCATCAACAAAATTATGTGCAATAATTCACAGTAAAATATTAATGTTTACTGTCACTTAAAATACTTTTGTCTTTCTTAACTTTATCACGTTACTTAATTAAAGTAATCGTCCATTGACACCACAAAATAAAAACAAAATATATTTCCATAGTATTAAATTTTAGTAAATACTATTAGACTCGTTCTAAAAATATAATATTTTTGTTCATAATTAATTAATGTAGTCATATTAATGTAGTCGTAGAAAAGGATATAATAAATAATGTGTCTCAGAAAAACAAGGCTATACTTGTTTTTCTATGAAAGAATTAATCACTCACTAATTTAATCTATTGAGTTAATCTCTATAATTTAAATTACTGAGTGATGAATTAAATATTCAAATATCATTTCTTAACCACGTAAAATAAGCTATGAGTGTCACTAGTTTTATAACAGATAATTTAAAGTTTAAAATTTTACATTTTTGCATAAACGTGAACACGTGATTTATGAAAACTTCTTTAAGTAAAAAAGAAGCTACGTTTATGAAAATCCTTTTTTACTCAAAGTAGATTTTTTACTCAAAGAAGTTAATGCACCTAAATCACGATGACATCTTACTAATATTAAACTTGTGTATGTTTGTTACTCTTACACGTAAAAAACGATGAACGAATCTTGATGAAATTTTCCACAGAGATAGATTATAGTATGAAATAGCACATAGCACTTTTTATCACGATATTCCCTTGGGATGAGCAAGGTACAACAACAACCGCGGGGTGCAGCTAGTTTGTGTTATAAAAAATCGAAGATACATTTACTCTAAGGTACGCAACGAAGAAACTCTAAATTGGAAAAACATGTGACAACCTGATAAAACACGTTTTACTGGCTGCATCGTGAGACTATCGTTACTCGTCACTAAGCACAATTTGATGGTCTCGTAAACATAATAGTATATATGACACACGGCCGTCTGATCTCAAACTAGGCTTGAAAAAGGCGTTATAAAAGTGTGTTAGAAAGTAATAAACATACAACTAGACAACTTTGCTAGTTCCTCGTGCAAAGGATGTTCGGTGCAATCCAGGGAGACAATACTGGCAGTAACATGGGCACAGTTGCACCGGCAGCGATGCGGAGTGGTTTATATGATTTGGCTTGAATTAGATTAAATCATTTAATTTTAAATAAATATAATATATATATAAAACTTATTTGAAATAAAAACTAATGCTTAGTCTTTAATTTCCTTATAAAAAAAGGAAATAAAACCGTACATTATTCTTTCATTAAATTAATTTATAAAATCTAAGAACAAGCTATTATATTGTCGCGAGATACTACTAAATAAATTCTAAGAAATACATAAAGAGGTTAGGTTATTAGTGTGAAAAGCCTAGACACGGTAGCGTGGTCATAGTGGACTTTAAAACAGTCTATCATAGTTCAATGCTTGTAGATAAAGTTGCCTGCCTACCATAGAACTATCTGCTGAGGGCTTCTCTAAACTGGAGTTAATCCAGAATAACGTCATTCGTACCATAAATATGTAATGTCCTCGGAACTGAAACAGCATCTTCAACTCCGTGGGATACTTTAAAGTACTAGAGAGCTCTACAGCCCTTTAAACCATGTGGATTCCGTATCCTTTGTCCCACACACCTTTGTAGATGCTTGTTATTTACTATATTTATGATCAACTTGTGTACGTAAATATGTACAAGACTGTGTGTGTATGTGTAGGCTTGTTGTAAAAATCATATTAACTCTCAATCTATCACCAATGACATAGATTATTAATTTTCTACAGACACAACTTTTAAAATTGGTGTTCGATAACAATATTCTCAAAAAACGTGTGGTTAACACGTTCTTCGCAAACAAATATGTTTACCAAGTCCTTCTCAAGATTATAAATTATCAGCATAAAGCTTCATTTTGATTTGGTATTTCTTATTGCCTATGAAAAAGAAGATTTAGTGTTTCTTATCATCATCATCATCAGCCTATCGCAATCCACTACTGGACATAGGCCTCTCCCATTGCACGCCACTTAGATCAATTTTCGGCTTCTGGCATCTCGAATAATAAGTAAACAAAAATAAGCTTCATCTGATAATTAATTCATTCTTAAAATCTTTTTTAGACAACTACAGAGCTGTTAAATTACGATTTTCTGTCATTCATCTACACTAATAATACTCGTAATAAGACTAAGGCCGAGCTTGTAAAAAAATATATTCCTAAAGAAAAATGATTTCATAGAAAAACTTACTTTATGATAAGTGACGACAAGAATATAGTAGAGAAAATTCCGCCAGCATACACTGCAGCCAGGGATGCTGTGCCCAAACCCGCCTCCGCGTTTATAGAACTCTGTAGGTTAGCAGCACCCTGAAAAAATCAAGATTTAAAAGTGTTAAAAAAAATAGAAAAAAATAATATAAGTGGGGTCAAAGATATCATAAATGTTAGTCAATTTACATTCGAACGTTTAGCATTTAGGTTTGCATTAATGAGGAGGCGATAATAGCAAATTTGATAAAAAGAACTATATTTCCATATTTACACAAACGTTAATTGATTTAGTTACCTGATGTCTATTCCCATTCGAATAAAATAAGTCAAGTGTGAAAAATTATTCAAATGTTACGTTAGTGTTTTAGATTCGAGAGAATTTCCAAAAATAATACAGTCATTTGCACTATACGTTTTTATGTATATGTCAGTGAATGAAACATTGACTTGCTACCTTTCCTCCGTTAAGCTATGTGAACATTTATACTAGTGTTTTTTTTTTATTTGATGAGACAGAAATAGAAAATAACCAAAAAAAAATATCAAAATTTCAGTCAATAAGTACAATTGATAAAAACGCCACGTTTTTACGCTTTACATCATGACATCTATTCGGCAGTAAACAACGGCAATATTCTTACTAAAATTGAAACCAAATACGTAATGAAAGTGTGAAAATGATAACAACTATTATTCTTATGGATAGTGATGGTATCTCCATCAATACATACAATGACGCAATCTCCTGTCGCGGCCGTCAGCAATTCATATAATTTTAACATAGAGACTCGCATGTAGAGTCAGCACACTTCCAGTTATTTATTAATAAATTATCAGAATATCTTAAATTAAAGTACAGGTACTTATTAAAAGGTATATACTACTTCAAAGAGATTTGTTTTGAAATGATGTATTTTTTAATGACTATTAATTTGATTGAAAATTATTTTTGATACCAAAATTAAAGCAGAAAGACAAATTGTGGTGTCGTTTACAGCGACAACCAGTAGGAGTGTAAGTGAGTGAGTACACTTTTCTCAGTTAGAAAACTAAATAAAGGTTGGAATTACACAAAAACCGAGCGGCATTCTGTAATCAAACGAATGTTTCCGTGTTGTAATGGATTACGAATATTGAGTGTTACCACGCCTATTCATCCCGTGGGTGCCGTAAGAGCCGACTAAGGGAGTAATCTACGCAGGACAACAGCACTGGCATCTGACTATCGTGAGATAAACCTCCCTTTTAAAGAGTGATTTTTAATATGATGAACCAAATGAAAAAAATAGTATTATAAATACAACGCTAAGCAAGTCGTAATACTGTGTTAAAAGAATAGTTTTAAAATTAAAGCGGTCAATAAAGAAAAATACAGCTCATTATTTCGACTACTTAACATTTATTTAATTTTCAAACAGTTTCCAATGTGATCTAATCTATCTATATAAAATTAATTTGAAAATAGTCATAAGACATCGTTTTGAAGCCACCGAATGACAGGGTCGTTTTATAGCGCGATGGGACATAGCCGCAGTTTTAAAGTAAATTTTCAATATATATCGATTAAAAACTTTATCTTTGCATTTCTAAATATAAACTTTAAATATTACAAATGTCACGTTTCTGCGTTTTACTTCTCGTGTAAGAATTCTCTCCACATATCCGTTGATGTTTACTTCACGCTGATTGTCCAGATCGATGGATAGATAGGTGTTGTTAATTATGTTAAACGATCTACAAGTTCCAATTGCCACAATTACTTTGTTAAGTACCCACTAACTCTTATTATCTTTTACTATTATTAATTATAGATATAAAGTAGGTATATTACTAACACTTACAAATCATAATCGTATGTCACTGTTGACAATTTAACAAATTGATGTCCTACGATAGCGACGCACTTAATATCTAGTACTGCAATATTAAAACTTTAAGTGTTATATCTTTTCGTAAATTAATACTTTAAACTAATTTATTAATATACTGTAGTATGTATAGTCGTATTTAAAAAATATCAATTATTACTATTACTTACTCCATATGATGTCAAAAAGAACATATAAGCAATAGAAATAACGCCGACGTTCTTTACAATTCTCCATTTCTCAGACCGCTGCAGTTTTTCGTCAGTTAATATATGATTTGTCATATTTCAATTTTCTTACTCTTGATTTTACTGTAAGAAACATTGGTTTAATTCAACTTTGCACAAAATAATTCACAAATGTACGAATAAGTACTTACATAGTTACTGAAGTTTATTTTTAATATGAAGCATTCGATACAAAATATACACTACACGCTAACAATGCACCACATTTAATATTACAATAAAATTTCACAAAAAAATATTGAAAATCTGAATGTGCACGCTACTGCTACGGCATGGCGTTAAGAACCAACAGACGACACACAACTGCCGGTCAAATACATTCTATTACTTTTATTTCGATGGCGAACTTAAAGACCGGTAATGATGCGAAGTTTTTTTTATCATTAGTTTAATTGCTTGCTTACTCACAGAACGAAAAGACTGAAAAGAAAAGCTATACTAATACTGTGGCCATTACTTTTTTAGTCACAAGCGTGACCAAAGATTGTACCCGTGATTGACACCAAGGTGTCAAGCTTTTTACTTATTTTAACTCAATGCGCCATTTTAAAGTTGTCCTTATACCTTGTTCTTATCTGCATGTTAGGAATATATAATTAAAAATAATAGTTAAGGAACCTTATCTATTATTTATATATGTATTACAAAGTATTGTAAGCTGAGGGGACCAGCTAGTAAGCTGGTCCCCTCGACTTCGTTCGCGTGGAATTTGAAAAAACTAGGTTCGATTCCCGGAGCGGCCAAAATTTTATAGGGATTTTCAGAGAAAAAATAGCCTAAGTTACTCCTGATAAAGACAGCTACCTGGTAGTAAAATATTATCAGTATCGGTTGAGTCATTTTGAAGATTATCCATAACAGACAGACGGACAGACAAAAAATATTTAAACTGGTTTTTTGGCATAGGTTTCGTGCAAATATGTGTGTGAGCATGAAAAAAACCCCATTATTTCGTCATTATATACAGACACTTCAATTTTATTTATTTGTATAAATAATCTACAATAATTTAATAAGTAAACATTTTTAGTCGTGCAAACTAACCTTTAGTCTAGAGCATTGGCCTGTCTTTAAGGTTGTGAGGAAGTAATTACAACTACTGATGAGACCAGTCCTTACACCAGTATTAAATGTTTAATAAAAAAAAATATGTTGTCCTAAAACACACCTAAAAGTGGACAATTTAATTGTTATAAGATTCATAGAAATAATAAAAAATTACTAACAGTCAACTACATCATTCGTGTTCACACGAATGTTCCTTCACGTTTTAAGAATCCCGTTAATACGCACCATTTGCTAACGTAGTTACACTTTGTGTTTTTCCAGGTTAGTTGTAATTCAGTTACAAAATAATTACAACACAGAAAAATAATAATAAGGATAGGTCTTTATCCCTTCTGATGAATGATAGTATACTTTTTGAAATCAAAGTTTACTTAATCGTAAAAAGGTTAGTATGGAGTTTGCCGTAGTAGCCAGCATATCGATTTAGTGCTTTTTCCCCAAACAATATCATTTCCCGTAACAAGTTGACTAAGCTTGACAAAAAATTAAATATCTTTTTTTTTGCCAGATTTTTAATAGAGAGCTCCTAGAAACGATAAAAAAATCGCAACGTCATCAATTCCTTCGCCATAACCAGTATGCTAACGTAAAACCACATACAAATATTTGTTATTATCTCTTATAGTGTTGGTTTTAGTATATTATTGAAACCTGTTACATTTTTAAATAGATGTGAAAACAGGTATAGCCATCGCATTAAAAATCAATAATACATTTTTAAATATCAAGTATTGTGCCGATGTTATTTTTATTACTAACGCATGTTGGATATTTTTTCTCAAAAAAAAAAAAATTTTATAGCTTTGCGACAGCTTTTGATAGCTTTGCGATCCAGTAGTAGCACATTCAAAGCCCAACACACTGCTTTACCGATATGAACCTACTACCTTTTTAGTGCGTATGGAAACCACATATGGGCCATCACCTCATAGTGAGGCGGTGTATCGGAATCGAAACACACTAAAACCACACGGTGTGCCATATTGGGCTCTAAATTAATTAGATTAATTGTGGACAACTTTGCTCGGCTACACCTAAAGAGCTTTAAAGTACTGTATCAAATTGCATCATACAATCTTTGTAAACTTTACAAACTTTGCATCTCTTAGAACTCACACCAAAAACAGTTCTCACACCTAGCTCAGTATGCAAAACAATTTGTAATATTTTGATTTTACCTTTTTTATAATTACTCTTGCACATTTAAGAATAGTCGTATACTAGTTTTATTTTAGCTTTAGGAACAAACGTTATATAAGAATCTAATGACAATAAAATGTAAATCATGCACAAAATGTAAGCAAACCTTGTGCTGATTCTGCAATAGTTTTTTAAAAATTTAAAGAAATTTAAAAAAAAAGTTTTTTTTATGACTTGATAAAATTTTGTTCGTCGTTGTAAGAGATTCGGACTTACAGGCCATCAACCGGGTATTTTTCAAAGATATTTCAAATATTAACTTTAATGTTATTCAATTTAACTCTCTTTTTATTTCTTGTTTTTTAGTGAGTTTAAAGTGTTTAAGAAAGTTAATCTTATTTGTATACACTGGCTTCCTGGCAGCTTGTCCGCATTTACTATCCATCCCAGTATTGACCGATGTAGTATTCGGCGCTTAACATAAGCATTCCTAAGACTCACTCTGGGAAGAAACGCCGAAACAAACCACAGAAGTGTCTTTCTTTTTAAGTCCGTAAACAAATTTAAATAAAACTGTTCAAGTACAGTATAGGGCCTGGGTAGGCCTTATGAAGAACCATAGTTTTGAGTCAGCCTGTCTATACAGACGGCATACAAGCCCCAGCCATCGTGTAGCTTAACCGATATCGGTCAAGATCAAGATCCGAAGCATGACACTACCGCTAGCAGGACATTTGTTTAGGCCATAAAAACACTCAAACCCACCAGAAAGTTACTAAAATATGAATTAACATTACAAACCTACACTATACTCACATTTACATACTTACACAATAAAATATGAAAATAAACAAATTAAAAATAAACAAATTAAAAATAAGCAAATTAAAAATAAACAAATTAAAAACAAACAAAATACGAAATACACCAAAAAATAATACTTAAATGTCCATCACTCTCAAACATAACAAATATAGGGACGTAAATGTGGGAGTGAGCAGCATCAATCCCAAGGAAATTTGTCATCTAAATAATAATCGTGTAGTAAGCCTTTTCACATAGATTGAGTTTTACTAAAGACTTAAATTTGTTAATACTTAATTCATTGAATTTGCTTGGCATTTTATTGTAGAATCGCACACACTGACATCGAAAAAACTTGCTTACTTTTTGTAGTCTAGTATTTTGTTTGTTTGTTTTTTATAAAGTTACAAAGTAGTAAGTAGGTACTAAATAGTAGGTTGGTAACACGAGTTTATCTTTATTTCTAGTGCTTATTTTATGAATATTGCTAAACTTAATAATATGAATATTTTTCTTTACATACACTAAATTTTCATTTATGTATTGAGATGCGACTGTCATGATACCAATTACTTTAAACTTATCCCTCAGTAACTACCTATAACTGAGATTATAAATTGCGCGAATAGCTCTCTTTTGCAACACAAAGATAATATGAATGTCAGCAGCATTTCTCTACAACAAAATACCGTATGACATTACACTATGAAAATAACTAAAATACATCAGTTTAGCTGTTTATACATCGGTTAATTGAAGAATTTTATAAACCGCGTATGCTGCAGAGCTAAGACTCTTCGACAATCCATCAATGTGTGGGCCCCACTGCAATTTAGAAGTAACATTAGTAGATACTCGTACGTTACGTACGTGCAATGTGTAGGTAGGTATGGGAGTAAACATCCACTACTACGATAAAATTGTAACCCAATCAAACAATTATGGGTGGTATAGAATCTATACAAATTTGTATGTTTGGTTGGTTGGTTGAACGCGCTAGTCTCAAGTTCAAATTAAAAAATCTTTTAGTGTAGTAAAGTTCATTTATCGAGAAAAGCTATTGACACTAGAACACCACGCTCCGGCCATAGGAGCCGAGCTTCAATGAAAAATGTTGTAAAAACAAATAAAATTCATTTATTTTAAGAGACACAGACGAAATTGCGGGTCAGCTAGTCAAATATAAAACAAAAACAACCATGCGGCATTGTAATATAATGTCAGCAAAATAGCTAATAAACAAAATAAATATTACTCAGCTATATATTTAAAAGAAAGAAACCCAAAAATATTTTTAAGCTGAATTGAAAGAATTCATTCTACTTTTACCACGAGGACCATTACCACTTACGCAATTCATATTTTTCTCTACAAGTGGTTAGTTAAGTTTTTCTAATGGACACTTATCAATACGATGGCTAATTAGAAATTGCGTAGTCGTTAGTCTTCAACATCGGTAATGTTAAAACACTTGTTTATGTATTAATTGTCATTCATCATTATGTCATTTCTCATCATTATTATTTTTATGAACGTATGAGTGATGCCTGCCTGCCAGCGTGCCTGCCTGAAAATAAGGCAGTTTTATAGAAAAAATATTATTAATTAGAAGATACACAATATGAATATTAAAAAACGAAGAGCAATATAAGTAGACAGTCCGCAAAGTAGTGTTAGAATAATTGTGTAATTAATAAAATGGGTCTTTGGAGCAAACGTGTCCTGATAATCGGTAAACGAAAGGTAGGACGCCGCAAGCCAGTTGGACTGACGGACGTGCTAAAAGAGATAGCGGAGGTTGGATGTACTCGTAGAAGGCCGGCCCAAGCCTATGTAACATTAAGACCTATTTCGTTTTAACAACATACTTTTATGTAGCACCTATAAGAGTTTTATGAGGATTGCAAGAAGGAGTCTATCAGATCTGAGTATAGGATTAAAAAATATCGACCATGCCCATGGGAGTCCTATCAAATGCAAAAAAATGCAAGCATCCATTGGCTTAGTTATGTACTTATCACTTC